TATCGTAGAATATAGATGACGAACAAACACACAACATATCTGGTCAACCAAGCGTAGACACAGAGTAATTTACACCAAAGATAATAGCATTCAAGTAGTAATTTGGAACTTGAAAAACCTTTATTTATACAAGTCAATTTAACAATTAACCTCTCGTACACACTCGGCTTATTCTCACGAAACTGACCAATATCTTTCGTCTTTTCAAATGCACCAATACTATCAAAGTCATTGCACAAGACATTTGAGTTCATGGGCGTCTGTTTCATTCTGGATTACAACACCAACGACGACTGTGTGACACAAGTTGATGAACTTAGCGGTGGATCAGAAGCTGTTGTTGCTCGGCTTTCAGAAAGTTGTCTACCTGCAAGACCACCACCACTGCTGTCTTTTACTATCAGCTCCGGTTTACCACCAGCATCTGATGATAGACCGGCTTCACTCTGATCACTCACACTGACGGTCTCACAAGTATCCATAACTTCTGCAACTGCATCTGCATTTATTTCTACTTCACCTTCAAGTTGTACAGAACCTTTGTTCAACTTAGCAGTAGTAGGCATATCTCTCATCTCATCATGATCAACCAAAGACAACTGTGAAGTATGATGATCATTATCACCAATATTCACTTTACCGTCAAGTGTATGGGAGTCACCCTGTAGTTGATCACGATTACCCTTAACAGCCTCGAATAATTTCCCTACAATCATCGAAGGTCTTCCAAACCTTTGAAGTAGTATGCTCATAGCCTCGTAGTAGCCCTCTTTTGGCTTCATAAACTTACAACACTCTATAGCTCTTGAAGCATCTCCAGGGCAATACCTCATCAAATACATTAACTTCAATTCATCATTTAATAGAAAATTATTCAGCATGATCTCAAACTCCTTTACAAATTGTAAATAATCAGCTGGGTTTCCATCAAAACATCGTGGTTCAAATTTAGGGAGTTTGATATTCCTATTATCCCTGAACGGCGAAACAGTAACATCAAGCATGTCATGCTTAGCATCAGACACATCGTTACAATTAACAGACAAGTCACCATGACTTACTTTCCTGTTTGCATCCAAGACGCTCTGTCCCTTCTTTGACCCAGGCATTGTTGAACTTGGCCCAATTCCAAAATCGTTCCAGATATTGTTTGTTCAAAGAGGACTTGACCGGCACCAGGAAGGATGAACAGTGACTATCCAAACTTTCACGAACTGTCTGAATCCGCCAAATCTGTTTCTACCATCAGAAACTGTCAGCCACATCTCATAAACCGTTAATGCCCAGCTCTTGCTACGCTCGGGTCCACGCTGTTCCTTGCAGTTTTTCAGAAACGCTTAGTAATAACGGACGAAAAATCCAAAAGACCGATTGGTGACTCGAGAATTCTTTATTGTTACGCCAACATATAAAAATAATGTTTTTACTAGGATCTGTGAACAAATATTACAATAATAAATCACAATATTACTTCTGACGGTTTACTGTTGACTTCTTTCTGAACAGCGACCGATGAGACGATGACTGGTGTATTGATGCCTCCGCGAAAATTGGGGAAGTTGATTTTGAGCAAACAACCATGAATTGATCGTTCAACCTTCAACTCCATTGACATGGTCCTATTTCTGTAACATTTTGATGATGCCTGTAATCTGGCGTCTCTCATGTACTCTACCATGAGAATAAATTTATTTATTTATGTGTGTTTTCGCTGTGGGTGTGCCTGCGGTGTTTTGGCTTTGCTGTTTTTTTCCATTTCAGATTTGTCCGTGTGTCCCAGGTTCTCGCACTGGCATCCAAGTCACCTTGTATTGGTCGTGATGGAAAAAATGGATGGATCGACTTTTGCCGGAGAGTGTCAATATAGTTGAAAACTGAACGATCAATTTACGGTTGTTTACTCCAACCCAACTACGCCATAATTTTCGCGGGAGTCATCAACCCATCAGTCATCGTCTCATTGTTCGCTGTTCAGCGGAAGACAGAAAACTATCAGAAGTATTATCGTGTTTTATTGTTATAACATTTATTCTCAGAGCTTGTGTAATAACCTTATTTTTGGTTACATATTGGCGTAAGAATAAAGGATTCTTGAGTCGCCAATCTGTGTTTTGTTTTCTCGCGTTGGTTAATACAAAGTGTTCCTGAAAGTCTTCCAGGGACATCGTGAGGTCTAACGTAGTAAGAGCTGGACATTGACAGTTTCTGAAAGTTTGCTGAAAGACATTGTAGCGGGGATATGCAATAAAGTCACTCATTTTACATGCAACGCAAAGATGTTTTAATCCTGTGTAATTTCGACCATCTGATAATAATCACCTTTAATCTCCTGCGTTACTATCTGAAATAGATTATAACTGTATCTTTGCAAATCTATGCATATAAATATGATTGTACGACTTTTGAGAATGAATTCGCCAAAAAGATACCTTTGTTGAACTTATTATCTTTTCTTTCAAAGAAATTGAAACACAATGTATACCATGCCTTTTGAACAACTCGGGGTTATTACGATTGAGATAATAGTCTTTCACATATGAGCATTAATTATGTTAATGAATTCGGAACCTCATGCCAGTTAAATTCTTCTTTGGAGTAAAGACCATTTGAAACACAACTTCACCATAATACAAATTCTTTGCATTTAAATGAAAACCAGTTTGTGCTATACACACAAATACAGAAATTAATGCTGAAATCATGCGGTGAATGCTAATAATTAACACACCACAGAAGGGAATAGCGTTTCAATAAGTGGGCCAAATATGCTGGTTTGGCATCATGATAATAGAAAAGTATACGTTTAAATTTTGAACCCACTGTCTACTTCAATCCCTTACATAGCACAAATATCAGTATCAAGTGATATTTTTTGATACAGGTGCAGCATCTGCAACACTAATCAAGGCATTCGAGTCGTTTATTCCACTATCGTTTTGCTCAGTTAGGAGAAAACATCGATGAATTGAAATCTTGTTTGAGTTACTGTAGTAATACTGTCTACTATATGTTCATGGCAACCAGTTATTTCATAGTGATGCTTAATTTGCATGACCACAGTTTGTCAGAATCCCCAGATACAATGAAACACAAACTTCGAATTCGCTTGAATTCATGTACAAAAGAAGAACAAAGTGTAAACAGAAATTCAGCACACTCCAGTATTTTTGTCTATAGATAAACTAACACTTAGTAAGGTTCAACTTTGAATTCCATGTACTCTAAATGTGTACAAAACATCAAGATTCTGAAGAGAATGAAACATGTAAAATAACTCGTATGTTAGATGATTTCATAATTTCGAATTCTGAAAAAAGTCTTATTCACATACTAGCCCCCCAAAAACAGTGATTCACAATTTGTTAACTTCTAGTATATTGTTTTGTTGACTCGATTATGTCCTTGAATTCTTTCAGCGGCTTGTATGAGAGTGACGGTTTTTGACCATAACTGGATTTTAAGGTAGTACATTGGGTTTGTTCCTGAAATTTTCACTATTTTTTTTACGAGAGTTATACGGTGAGCTAGTGTAAGCTAGGGCGAATGTTTTGGGCTGTAATATTCTGTAAATGTTGGCTAGCGATACTGGATTATTGGAGACAATGGAATCCAATCAACGGAAAAGGGAATTCTCTGTGCTTGTAGTTAGAACTAAACTGGAGCAGTGGTGACTCTAAAATATAACAGTGCTAAAAGAAACCACCGATTGGATTCGTAAGAAGTGGAAGTGCGCAATTATAAATTAACGTCTGTATACAAGCAATGCAGTGTTGAAAATGCCTACAAAGGATAATATTCTTGTATATATTCCAAGAAACCTCATAATGTCCCACGGCACTCCTCATATTCAGGTTGAACCAATTTCTATAATGAAATTCGTCAAGGTCATCAATATGTTTATTAGGTAGTTTTGTTTTGGGCTGCTGTAGTTTAGAGTTCCCGAGAAACCCGATGAAATAAAAAAAATCAAAACCAAGAGGAATTTGATTTTTGTAGTTCCATTAGTGTGCGTCATTTCCATATATTCACCTAACAATACCAAGCTTTACCCCTCACGTGCTCATAATTTTAATAGTGCCTGACACGTGTCCCAATCAGTTATATATTATTGCATGCTTATAAAAATGTACCCTTTACATCTTCGACTAGAAAAACGTTTTAAGAATCCATATTTTAATACATTGGGAAAATGTTCAATTTTAATAAATTCGTTTAGACGATCTTGTAAAGTAAAGCAGTATGCACACTAATTCATCTATTCTTTATACATTCTGTATGTGAATACTTGGTGGTACCTAAAGTTGTTATGTTTATCTCTGACACATTGGATTTTACTCGGTCTTATTATCTTCCTGGTGTGATGTAGAAATACTGCAAGAGCTCACTAATTTAATTTATTTGACTGAGTCTGGAATTTGTGGAACAAAAATCTATGGTCCCGTTGTTTGACAACTTAAGAGTTGATACTGGAAAATTTTCTGAAGTCTATAACTTAATAGCTATTGTCATACCAACATACTATATTGTTTATTATTCACTAATAGCATAGATGTTCATGTGGTTGTGAATATCTCACTCTAATTTACCGCTAGGAATTTAGCTGTAAAGATGTAATCGTGTTAGGGAAATATCCTGACAAAATATCATCTGGGCACTAAACAAGAATTCAGATATTTTCTTTGAGACTCACCGCGTTAATTGTAGTGTTCTCACAAGTCTAGTACGCACTAACTTGGTGTAAGGATATGGGGTGTATGCAGATAAATACATCGACTCCTACTTGTTCGTCAAATTTCTTCACACAATCGACTTATTTCCGGTGAAATGTCACCAAAAATGTACAATTTTGGTTAGGTATTTGCCAACTTGGTTGAGATTTTACTGTTCCATATTTTTCTTTTTCTGGGTGTTTATTTATCCCTTGTTTGTTTTCTGTCAAACTAATTGTAGCTTACATTCCGTGCCAATTATTTTCAAACTAATTTCTCGCTGGCTTCCAAATGTCTTCGCTATCGTTTGGTGACTTTGAGGAATTATCATCACGTGAAACATTTGTCTGCCTTGAACGGCTTCCAGGTATGTTTGTATCTTATATTGACTTCGTGATAGCAATCGATTTTACCCAGTTGTGTGATGAAAGTAAAGTGGATTCCAATCACAAGTCACTATCTGACGTTTCACGTAACAAAACATGTTTGCAGGAATTGAAATTCGATGATCAATACTCCACTTCAGACTCGAGATATCTCACTAAAGTATCAACACTGTGTGATGATTCATACAAAAATGAGGGTGAATTTTCTTCAATAAGTAAGTTTATTCTGAGAAGCAGATACCCTTATGATTTCTTTATCTTGTCTATTAGGAAGAATTCAGGCTATCTAATTATTTAGTTTCAACTATTTGCATTTAAAACCAAAATAAATTTCGTGAGGTTCTGTGTATTCGACGGTGTGTCACCTAAGGTTATGCATACCACTACCGGATGAGTTCTGCACTGTAGTAACTCCAGCGTCAGTTGAGAAGTTTGGGACATGTTACGGACACCAAACTACAATCCTAATCGCCAGATGCACTTAGATAAAGCAGCCATTACTGACAGTTCATTTCAGTCACAATATATGATTTAGATTGTCTATCAGCTTCATTCAGCATGCTACAACGAAACCGATCTACGCAATTTGATGATTATGCTAATGAAGAACCAATAGTTGTGTGGTGTGTATGAACAGCCTAATTCTGACCTCATTTGACGACGATAGATGATGATGAGTCGATGGGTGTTAAAATCATAGACCCACGATCCAGTAAACTCATTCGATAAAGCGTTACACTATTATGCAGTTAATATTACTGCATGTCAAAAAAATTATCGAGAAAAATTATTCTGTTACTCATTTATAATGTACCATAGTGACTAAGTACCATTCCTCTACTTGATTAACATTATTGTTTTGTATGTTGTGGAGATATATTCTAATGAAATTATGTGTATGGTTTTATTTGCAGAGTTGACGAGAGAGAAGGTTGTCGATGATAGGGATGTTTCGGTGAGTTGATTTGCCTTTGATGTATTTGTTGTTTTGTTTTTCTTGGTAGAGTCGAGTTTTTGTTTTGTTTTGTTTTGTTATGTGCATGTGGTTGGTGTTTCTTACGTGTTGTTGTTGTTGTTTATTGTAGGTTGTGGGAAGACGACGGCTTGGGAAGAAAGGCAGAGGAGGGTCAAATTTGTCAGGTGGTGGTGGTAAGTGCGATAACGTAGTTTATGTCTTTCTGGGTGTCTTGTGTGTTTGGTTGTTTGTTGTACTGTGTATCTTAGATTGGCTATGTTTTGATTGTTTTACCAGTTGTTTGTGTAATTATACGTCATTTGGAGTTATCGTTCGTGTGTTTGCGTTTGTGCTTTTACATGTAAAAGTAGTTTTCGTGTGAATTGTTTTGACTAGTGTTCCTATTTGTGATTTTATGTCGATGTTGCTGTTAGAGGTTGCTGTGCGTCGGTGGCACAGTGGTTAGGACTCTCGCCGACCATGCACATGATCCGGGGTTCGAGCCCACTCCGGCGCACACCTGATATCTATGGTCGGCCTGCGAAATTTGGGCTACCGATATCCATGCTGAAAATTCCATACTTGTACCAAAAATACAGTGTGAAATCAAGCTGTAAATAAAAAAAAATAGTGTAGTGTATATTATTATTAATAATGTAATTATGCGTTCGTTAACTTTCTGACAATCAATTTTCTAATATTTTGTATATTTCAGAAACACTTTCCCCAATACGACTGAGTGAATCGGCGATAACAATATCTACAGATGATCAAGGTGAATATGGTTTTAAAATATATGACAAAGTAGAATACCACATTAGTACTAAATCAGTCAGCTTCTTAAAACAGTAACGAAAAGAAAATAATTCTGCGGCGTGTACCGTCGAGATATTTTCAAACTCCGAAGGAACCTAGAGATGATGACAGCCACGTGCAGATGCGTGTCCGAGGTTATACACACTCAGTCCCACGAGAGAATGATGAATCTCATGGATTCTAGCATGAGGTTGAGAGAGTTGATTTGTAAGATTTGTGAGGCGTGAGTTGAGTGGGAGACAGAGACGACTATAATGGAAAAGTGATTCTGTCTCGGTCTGTTTTCGACATAGAACTTTGCACAAATGTGCGGATGTTCAAGTCGCCACACTCCGTGTAGCACGCGAAGCAAGAGAAGAAAGTACAGGAAAAGCATAATAGAAACAGTGAGCAGAGGTGTGAGACAAAGGAGTAATAACGAAGAACAAAACAGTTTCATTGGAAATCATAAGTCAAGAGGAGTGGATGCATCTGCACCAGCCATTGAGAACGATTTTGAGCCATGTCACCAATTGTTTCCAACCATAGATTTTTACCGTCCCGATGACCCCAACCAGGAAGTCTACACCTTCCTACGTGGCTTAGACCAACTGTTGTGGATTTCATTGACTAGTGCCAAGTTTTTGTTTGACCACCGCTAGCTTTTTTCCAGCCTGACTCTATATCCGCTAACATTGCTCGTCGAGGGAGGCGATGGCTTGGCATACGTAACACATGTCCTAACCATCTCAGTCTTTGTAGCTTCACAACTTCGTCGGTTGATTTCCCCTGTTTACCTAGAACTCTACGCCTAACCTCAATGTTGCTCACCTTATTATGCCACTTTACACGGCCCGACCGAAAGCTGCTACCTTGACGTGGTGGTCGGGCTTGAACACCGCAATGACCTAATCAAGCTATACTGGCTGAGACTTATGTCTCTTGAGGTTCTACCATGCCAGGCAGGTTGTTTGGATAGCGGTTAAACAAAAAGCAGCTACCTCATCCAATACCATGATCCAAACAAATTCACAAAATTTCATGCCGGATCGGCCGTGGCCCGGATTAACAACGACCGCGCTTCCTGCTGCCGTGTCACAGGGCGGGAGTGATAAGTATGCTACTGAGGCACACAAAACAACAAAGAACGAACAAAAACAGGCCGCGTGTGACCGGCCACAAGCAGTTGTCCCCTGGGCTCTGCGGTCACGCAACCAACTTCCACGGTGTGGGCAGCCGGGAAGTAACAATCGCCCTCACAATCCAAAACGCACACAAAACCTCTCTAATCCTCACTTATCTTTGTCTTCATCTTCATCTCTATTACCTTACCTTCCCCCAGTGATGCAACTCCTCTACTTGATGGCTCCTCACTCCCTCTTCACTCTGTGTCCACTAAAAACGACGAAAGCCAAAAAACCACCACGGATAGTCTCCTAAAGCCACGCCACCAATTTCATATAGGAGCATTTAATGTAAGGACACTTTGCCAAATAGGACAACAAGCATCACTAGCTAAGACCCTGGCATCTCGAGCCATTGATGTATGTTGTGTTTCAGAAACACGCATACAAGACCCAAGTGTGGTTATTCACCTAACCCCACCTGGCCAACAGGATGAATCTTCAAAATTCACCTTGAGGGTGTCAGGAGATGCCACAGCTAGTTCACGGGGATTAGCTGGCGTAGGGATAGCTCTGAGTACTAGGGCAGAAAAGACATTGCTTGACTGGATCCCGGTAGATAGCCGAATGTGTGCTGTCCGTCTGAACGGATCAGTAAGAAGGAGAAAGGACTGCACTACTCGCCGATGCCTTTTCGTAATCTCCGCCTACGCCCCCACTGACTGCAGTTCGGATGAAACGAAGGATGAGTTCTACCAAAAGCTGTCTAGTTTGGTGAGAAAGGCTAAACGCTCAGATATAGTCGTTCTAGCTGGTGACTTCAACGCTCAAGTAGGGAAATTGTGTCAATCTGAGAAGGATGTCGGTGGCACCTATGGAGTTCCGTGCCAGCGAACCGACAACGGTGACCGTCTCCTACAGTTCTGTTCAGATAATCATTTGTTTCTTGTAAGCACTAACTTTAAACACAAGGAGAGACACTGTTTAACCTGGCGACCCCCATCATCAAACCAACGCTGGACACAAATAGACCACATAGCAATAAGCTATCGTTGGCGTGGGTCGGTAGGAGATTGTCGCTCCTTCTGGAACACGTGTGTAGATACCGATCACGCACTGGTCCGGGCTCGTGTGTGCTTACGACTGAACGGACGTAGGAAACAGCTGGCGGTAAAACCATTACGCCCCCAGCTCGATCAGGAAACTAAATCCCTATTTGAGGAAGAACTAGCTAAACGCATATCTGTATTCGACAGCTGTGCTCACCCTGGAGAAGCCTGGAAGAATATTCAGTCAGCTATAGATACAGCTGTAAAAGCTGTGAATAAGACAAATCCAAAGGTGAGTAAAAACCACTGGATTTCGACTGCCTCATCCGAACTGATAGATGCTAGAAGACTTATTCCGGCGAGCTCCGAATTCAATGAGGAGCGAAAGCTGCACAAAAGGAAACTTACTAAAAGTCTCCGCAAGGACCGTGAACAGTGGTGGGTGACAAAGGCGAAAGAGATGGAAAAAGCATTGGCGATAGGCAACACTAGGCAACTCTTTAGACTCATCAGAGAATCGGGTGGGAGAAGGCAATTCATAAGTGAGACTATTTCTGAGAAAAATGGCTCCTTAATTAGCTCTCAGGATAGACGCCTTGAACGCTGGAAAGAACACTTTGAGGAACAATTTAACTTGCCTACAGCCACACTGAACCTCCCCGCCATCCACCACGTACCCGAATGGGATATAGACACTGGTCCGCCGTCTGTAGGTGAGGTTACAAAAGCTATCAGTAATTTGAAACGAGGCAAAGCGGCAGGACCCGACGGAATTATTCCGGAGGTGTTTAAATATGGGGGTGACATACTAGTTTGTAGATTAACTGAGGTACTAGGCAAAGTCTGGGAATCAGAGACAGTACCATCAGACTGGGGTAAGTCACTTATTATACCGATATTCAAGAAGGGAAACAAGTCCTCGTGTGATAATCATAGGGGGATCAGCCTAACGAACATAGTCTCTAAAATCCTAGGCTCAGTAATCATGCATAGACTAAGCAGAACTCGGGAGGAACAGACAAGGGAAAATCAAGCAGGCTTTAGACCAGGTAGAGGGTGCATAGATCATATCTTCACTCTTCGACAGATTCTAGAACATAGACACACTTTTCGGCGTCCAACAATTGTCATATTTCTTGACTTGAAGGCGGCCTTCGACTCCGTGGACCGAAAAGTACTATGGCAATGTCTGACTGTGAAGGGAGTGCCAAGAAAGTACATTGCACTAATCAAGGCACTCTATTCAAACTCACGTAGTCGTGTAAGGGCTTATGGGGAATTGTCATCTGAATTAGTAACAACCAGTGGTGTCCGACAGGGATGTCCACTTTCCCCATTTCTGTTTAACTTCATCATAGATATGCTAATGGAAGTATCCTTAACTGAACGTAGTGACTTAGGAATCGACTTGTTACCAGGGAATAATCTAATGGACTTAGAATATGCAGATGACATAGTCCTGTTAGGGGAGGATGCTGACAAAATGCAGAGTCTTCTGAACACCTTGAGCAGCAATCTTCGTATGTTTGGCATGCGATTCGCCCCTGCAAAATGTAAGATGCTGCTACAGGACTGGACGACGTCAACCCCTAACTTAGTGATAGGGAGTGAAGTGATAGAACATGTTGACCACTTCACCTACTTGGGAAGTTGTATTAGCACCAACGGACTGATTGGCGATGAAATCTCAGCACGGATCCGAAAAGCTCGAGCTGCTTTCGCTGACTTACACCATCTCTGGCGTAGGCGTGACATCCGGTTATCAACCAAGGGACGTGTGTACTGCTCATCAGTTCGCTCCGTCCTTCTCTATGGCTCTGAAACATGGCCAATACGCGTTGAAGACATGAAAAGGTTGACTGCTTTCGATCATAGATGTCTGCGATCTCTGTCTCACGTTAGGTGGTTTCACAAGATAAGTAATGTTGACGTTAGGCGTAGAGTGTTGGGCAAAGAGGGAAAATCAATCGACGAGGTTATAAAGTTACATAGACTAAGATGGCTAGGTCACGTGGTGCGCATGCCTAACCACCGCCTCCCCCGACGGGCATTGTTAGCTGATATAGGTTCAGGTTGGAAAAGAGCCAGTGGTGGCCAAACAAAAACATGGCATCAATCCATGAAATCCTTGACAGTTAAACTGAGTCAGGTAGGGAGATGCAGACTCCCGGGTTGGGGCCCTCGGGACTCTAGGAATCAATGGCTGGAGACAATAGGTGACATGGCTCAAAATCGTTGTCAATGGCGCAGATGTATTCAATCTCTGTAATCTTTCATATTCCTTTCTACCATTACCCATTCTGTTTCACTCTTATATTTGTCAAACTCTATTAATTCTCTTCACTCATCTTCTTGTCTACCTCTGTGTGCTATTTGGAACGTGGCAACTCGAACTGCTGCACTTCGGTGCCAAGTTCTATGTTGAATCCAGACAGACAGACTTTACACGGGAAATAGAGCGAAGACACCTATGATCAAAGACAGCTAGTCTTTTCATGTCTTCCACTCTCAGTGGCCAGGTCTCACAACCATACAAGAGGACGGAGCGGACTGATGAGCAGTACACCCGCCCTTTGGTCGATAGTCGAACATCTCGTCTACGCCAGAGTCGACGTAAACTGGGAAATTCGAGACGAGCCACCTGTATTCGTGCTGAGATTTCGTCAGAGATCAACCCGTTGGGGCTGATGGTACTTCCCAAATAAGTGAAGCGGTCAATGTGCTCTACCACTTCACTTCCTATTTTTAAACTAGGCGTCGATGTAGTCCAGTCCTGTAACATCATCTTGCACTTGGCGGGGGCGAATCGCATGCCAAACATTCGTAGATTGCGGCTCAAAGTGTTCAGAAGACTCTGCATTTTGTCAGAGTCGTCGCCTATAAGGACTATATCATCTGCATATTCTAAGTCAACAAGATTATTCCCAGGTAGCAAGTTAATCCCTGAATCGCTGAAGTCACCTAGGGTTAAGTCCATTAACACATCTATGATGAAGTTGAATAGAAAAGGAGATAATGGGCATCCTTGACGGACACCACTGGTCGTCATCAGTTCAGATGACAGCTCGCCGTAAGCCCTCACCTGGCTGTATGAGTAAGAGTAGAGTGCCTTAATCAGTGCAATATATTTTCTCGGAATTCCCTTTACAGCCAAGCATCTCCAGAGAACTTCTCGATCGACAGAGTCGAATGCCGCCTTAGGTCAAGAAATATAATGACTGTTGGACGCCGGTTGGAATAGTGATTGGATCTGAGAAGCTGGCTAGTGTGAGTATAACTCTGTGTATCTGACGAGTGTTAGTTTTGTTGAGACTTGATGGTATTGAGTGTAAGAAGATGTATGTATTTCGGTAGTTATTGAGTGGTGATAGGTATGTTTTTGATGGATGTTTCGGGTGGGTGAGTGGGTGATTGATTGATTGAGTGTGTGTGTGTGTGTGTGTGTTTAACTGATAGTATTGTGTTGTATGGTGTGGAGATATATTCTAATGAAATTATGTGTATGGTTTTATTTGCAGAGTTGACGAGAGAGAAGGTTGTCGATGATAGGGATGTTTCGGTGAGTTGATTTGCCTTTGATGTATTTGTTGTTTTGTTTTTCTTGGTAGAGTCGAGTTTTTGTTTTGTTTTGTTTTGTTATGTGCATGTGGTTGGTGTTTCTTACGTGTTGTTGTTGTTGTTTATTGTAGGTTGTGGGAAGACGACGGCTTGGGAAGAAAGGCAGAGGAGGGTCAAATTTGTCAGGTGGTGGTGGTAAGTGCGATAACGTAGTTTATGTCTTTCTGGGTGTCTTGTGTGTTTGGTTGTTTGTTGTACTGTGTATCTTAGATTGGCTATGTTTTGATTGTTTTACCAGTTGTTTGTGTAATTATACATCATTTGGAGTTATCGTTCGTGTGTTTGCGTTTGTGCTTTTACATGTAAAAGTAGTTTTCGTGTGAATTGTTTTGACTAGTGTTCCTATTTGTGATTTTATGTCGATGTTGCTGTTAGAGGTTGCTGTGCGTCGGTGGCACAGTGGTTAGGACTCTCGCCGACCATGCACATGATCCGGGGTTCGAGCCCACTCCGGCGCACACCTGATATCTATGGTCGGCCTGCGAAATTTGGGCTACCGATATCCATGCTGAAAATTCCATACTTGTACCAAAAATACAGTGTGAAATCAAGCTGTAAATAAAAAAAAATAGTGTAGTGTATATTATTATTAATAATGTAATTATGCGTTCGTTAACTTTCTGACAATCAATTTTCTAATATTTTGTATATTTCAGAAACACTTTCCCCAATACGACTGAGTGAATCGGCGATAACAATATCTACAGATGATCAAGGTGAATATGGTTTTAAAATATATTATTATTATTATTATTATTGTATCCTTTAGTTCCTAGAGGAACATAGGGCTTCAGCTGCGCACCTCCATTGACTTCGGTTTTTTGACAACTTTTTCACCCTGCTCCAGGTCTGCCCACATGCTTTCATCTCCTCTTCACATGACCTCCTCCAAGTCACCCTTGGACGACCAACTCGCCGCCTCCCTTTCGGGTTCCACTCGAGGGCTTGTCTAGTGATGTCACTTGATGGTTTCCTCAGCGTATGGCCAATCCATCTCCATTTCTTTCTGCCTATTTGTTTCACAATCGGTTCCTGATTGGTTCGCTCCCAGAGATCCCTGTTGCTGATCTTTTCTGGCCATCTGATCTTGAGTATTGAGCGGAGACAGTTGTTAATGAAGGTTTGAAGTTTGTTTGAGATGCTCTTTATGACTCGCCAAGTCTCTGATCCGTATAGTAGCACTGACTTCACATTGGAGTTGAAAATCCGGATCTTATTTTTGATGCTGAATGCTGTTGACCTCCACACAGATTTGAGAGTAATGAAAGCTTGTCTTGCTTTTCCGATTCTGGCTTTGATGTCCTCGTCAGTTCCGCCTGTAGTTGAGACGATGCTTCCCAGGTAGGTGAAGGAGGTTGTTTCTTTCAGGTTCTTCCCATTTATGCTTATTGTGGTCTGTTGTTGCTGTTGATGTTGGCAAGGAATCTTCATCATCTCTGTTTTATCTATGTTCACGTGAAGTCCTATCTTTGATGCTTCTTCTGCCAACTTGTTACTTTTCATTTGCATATCTTCCAGTTTATGGGAAATCAGACATATATCATCGGCGAAATCCAGATCCTCCAAGTCTTTTGTGTCAGTCCATTTTATGCCTGTTCCCTCGTTGGTTGCCGTTGTCTGTCGCATTATCCAATCAATTGCAATCAGGAAGATCATTGGTGATAGTAGACAGCCTTGCCTCACTCCCGTCCTCACTTCGAAGGCTTCCGTAAGTTTCCCGTTGTGGATTACTTGGCATGCAGCATTGTCGTATAACTGTTGGATGAGGTGTATAATTGTCGATGGGACCCCGTAGTAGCGAAGTAGTTTCCAAATGACCTCTCGATCGACGCTGTCGAAGGCCTTTTCAAAGTCGATGAAGTTGAGATAGAGAGGTGACTGCCATTCCAAGCTTTGTTCAATGATGATCCGTAGAGTGGCGATTTGATCAATACATGATTTGTTTCTCCTGAATCCAGCCTGTTCCGGACGAAGTTTTTCATCTAGGGCTTGTTTGATTCTCTCCAGGATGATGCGACTTAGTATCTTGCTTGGAATGGACAGAAGCATAATTCCACGCCAGTTTTTACATTGACTTAAGTCTCCTTTCTTTGGAAGTTTGAATAAGTAACTGTTCTTCCAATCCTCGGGTACTTTGCCCTCTTTCCACACCTTCTCCAGTAGTGGTGTCATCAAGTCCGCTGTTGTCTCTGGGTCTATTTTCAAAGCCTCTGCTGGGATTCCATCTGGTCCCGGTGTTTTCCCAGTTTTAAGCATCTTGATTGCATTCAGGACTTCTGATTTCGTCGGGGGGTCAGTGTTCACTGGTAGTTCTGCTTCCGTTGTTGGTATTGCTGGACGTGTTGTAGGTGGCGGACGATTTAGAAGTCTTTTGAAGTGTTCAACCCAGTGCTTTCTCTGTTCCACCTCTTTGGTGATTGACTTTCCATTGTCGTCCTTTATTGGCTTAATCTGTGTCGAACGTTTGCCCGAAAGGTTCCTAGTTGTTTGGTAGAGTGTGGCGAGGTCTCCTTTGCCTGCAGCTTGTTCTGCTTCGTTTGCCATGGTTTCATAATATTTTCTTTTGTCTTCCCTGGCACTTTTCTTCACTCTTTTGTTCAGTGTATTGTAGCTTGCATTCAGCTCCTGTTTTTGTTGCTCGTCGTAGCACTGGATAATCTTTTGCTTCACTGTCCTTCTCTCTTCTATTAGTTTCCAAGTGTCCGTAGTGAGCCACTGTTTGTCCTGTCTCTTTTTTCTGCCTAGAATTTCTATGCAGGTTTGGCTCCACACCGTTTTCAAGTTGTTCCAGTGCTTTTCAACGCCGACCTCTTCGCTAGTGTTGATTTGTGTCTCGGCTTTGTCCTTTATGCTTGCAATGAAGATGTCCTTTGTAGCCTGGTCCTTCAGCTTTTGAGTGTTGAACTTGGCTTGTGGTCTATCTGCAGCTCCTCCTTCTTTGAAAGCTTTTAATTTGATTTGGATTGTCCCTTGTACGAGATAGTGGTCTGAGCCAACGTCTGCTCCTCTTCTTGCTTTTGTGTCCAGTAGGCTGCGCCTCCACTTCCTTGAGATTGAGATGAAGTCGATTTGGTTTTTGGTTTGCCCGTCTGGTGACACCCATGTAGCCTTGTGGATATCTTTGTGCTTGTATACACTGCCACCAATCACCAGTTCGTTGAAGGCGCAGAAGTCGGCGAAGAGTTCTCCGTTTTCATTCATTTCTCCTAGAGCTTCTCTACCCATGATGAGTTCCCTTCCCGTATTGTCTGGTCCCAGTTTGGCGTTCATGTCTCCCATTAGTATTTTCATGTCGCCAGCTGGAGTATTGTCCATTGTTGCCTGTAGTTGCCTGTAGAATTCTTCTTTCTTCTCGAGGTCTGCGTTGTTTGTGGGTGCATAACATTGTATGATTGACACTTTCCTTCCTTTGGAGTTGAACCTGGCGGTCATTATCCTGGACGAAATCGCCTCCCATTGTATCAGGGCTTTCGTTGCCGTTGGTGACATCATGATAGCCACGCCCTCGGTGTGCGTGTGGTTATCTTCTGGGTGACCGGAGTAGATCACTGACTCACCTGTTGACAATTTGGTGAGTCCACTCCCATTCCATCTGCTCTCACATATTCCCAGCACTTGTATTCCGTATCTTTTCATCTCGTTGGCGATCTGGGCAGCTTTTCCAGTCTCGTACATAGTTCGGACGTTCCATGTTCCTACACAGACTTTTTCTTTTGGTGCAAGGAGGTTCATTTTGCTGAAGGTTCTGTAGCAATTTTGTTTACAGGGTGGGGTTGCTAGCCTCACGCCTGAGAAAAGAATGATTACATTAAGTAAAAGTTTAGAGAGAAGCAACTTTTTGGGTTGCTCCCCTCAAAATCAGAAAATAACGGACAAACAATGAGAACAACATCAACAAAGGAAACAGTTCACAGAAAAAAGGGCAAAAAGCGACGACAACTATACAATAAGACAACATGCAATATAGTTCAGTACATTTAACTAAAATGATATCTTAACCATAAACTCACTGACTTGGAGCAACTTGAACATATAAATCCAACAATATATACAATTATAGATGTGTTTATGTTTAAAAATTCCACAAATCCAAACAGTGAGTTATGTGTATTATCTGTCAATAAGATTGTATTTTTTGGATTCAGTGTTCGAAAGGTTAATAATTGTGATAATTTCCGCAAACACTTTGCATAAAATTTTAGAGTAATAAGAGATTTTATTTATGACCAAAATGTAGCGTAATAGTCGAAAAGCGCGCTCAAGTTCAGAGTTAAAATATATGACAAAGTAGAATACCACATTAGTACTAAATCAGTCAGCTTCTTAAAACAGTAACGAAAAGAAAATAATTCTGCGGCGTGTACCGTCGAGATATTTTCAAACTCCGAAGGAACCTAGAGATGATGACAGCCACGTGCAGATGCGTGTCCGAGGTTATACACACTCAGTCCCACGAGAGAATGATGAATCTCATGGATTCTAGCATGAGGTTGAGAGAGTTGATTTGTAAGATTTGTGAGGCGTGAGTTGAGTGGGAGACAGAGACGACTATAATGGAATAGTGATTGGATCTGAGAAGCTGGCTAGTGTGAGTATAACTCTGTGTATCTGACGAGTGTTAGTTTTGTTGAGACTTGATGGTATTGAGTGTAAGAAGATGTATGTATTTCGGTAGTTATTGAGTGGTGATAGGTATGTTTTTGATGGATGTTTCGGGTGGGTGAGTGGGTGATTGATTGATTGAGTGTGTGTGTGTGTGTGTGTGTTTAACTGATAGTATTGTGTTGTATGGTGTGGAGATATATTCTAATGAAATTATGTGTATGGTTTTATTTGCAGAGTTGACGAGAGAGAAGGTTGTCGATGATAGGGATGTTTCGGTGAGTTGATTTGCCTTTGATGTATTTGTTGTTTTGTTTTTCTTGGTAGAGTCGAGTTTTTGTTTTGTTTTGTTTTGTTTTGTTATGTGCATGTGGTTGGTGTTTCTTACGTGTTGTTGTTGTTGTTTATTGTAGGTTGTGGGAAGACGACGGCTTGGGAAGAAAGGCAGAGGAGGGTCAAATTTGTCAGGTGGTGGTGGTAAGTGCGATAACGTGGTCTATGTGTGTGTGTGTGTGTGTGTGTGTGGTTGTTGTTGTTGTTGTAACTTTTATACCATTGATGTGACAATAATCATAGTAGTAATAATGATAATAATAATAATAAGAAGAAAAACAAGGATAATAATGAAAGTTATCATGATAACTGTTGTGATTTTAATTGTTGGTGGGTTAGGTAGCAGCTGACTGACGTTAAATTTTGTGATGTTTTGTATATTTTAGAAGGCTTCTCTGGATTGCAACTGAATGACTCAGTGGCTGAAGTGTCCGAAGTTGAGCAGGGTAAATTTGGTGTTGTTTTGAAATGTGTATTTGAATGTTATTTGTTGTGGAGGAGTTGAATTGTTTATTGATGATGTTGATGATTTGTACTTTACCAGGTGGATTAGATGTCAATGTCAGTGGAGGTGTGTCGATTGTACCGGGAGGTGGGAAGTCGAATAGTGTTAGCGTGTTGACGACAGCTGTTGATTCGAGATTGTGTGATGTTGAGAAGGAAGGTTAGTGCAGTTCTGTTCACGTACTCAATAAAATGAATATGTATCATCTGTGTGGGTGTTTGTGTGAAGGCGTGGATGTATGTGTGTTGTTGGTGTGTTGAGTTTCGGAATGTGGTTTGATGATTTGTTGTTGAGGTTGATGTTCAGTTTTACGTGGGAATGTTGTTAGTGATGAGGATAGAGATATAGTCGGCGATTGAGTCGGTGGGAAGAAGTTGGAGCGACGTGTGAGATAGTGCATTAGATATGGTTGACAGACTTGTAAGGTGGTTGAGAATGTGAACTGTGAAGGTGACGAATATGTTGAGGGGGATGTTTCTGTTTGTTTGTGTGTGTGTGTGTGTGTGTGTGTGAATGAATAATATGCTTATAGAATGGTGGATTTTGAGGGATTTTCTTGTGAGGTTGTGAGAGTTGATTTGTAAGATTTGTGAGGCGTGAGTTGAGTGGGAGACAGAGACGACTATAATGGAATAGTGATTGGATCTGAGAAGCTGGCTAGTGTGAGTATAACTCTGTGTATCTGACGAGTGTTAGTTTTGTTGAGACTTGATGGTATTGAGTGTAAGAAGATGTATGTATTTCGGTAGTTATTGAGTGGTGATAGGTATGTTTTTGATGGATGTTTCGGGTGGGTGAGTGGGTGATTGATTGATTGAGTGTGTGTGTGTGTGTGTGTGTGTTTTAACTGATAGTATTGTGTTGTATGGTGTGGAGATATATTCTAATGAAATTATGTGTATGGTTTTATTTGCAGAGTTGACGAGAGAGAAGGTTGTCGATGATAGGGATGTTTCGGTGAGTTGATTTGCCTTTGATGTATTTGTTGTTTTGTTTTTCTTGGTAGAGTCGAGTTTTTGTTTTGTTTTGTTTTGTTTTGTTATGTGCATGTGGTTGGTGTTTCTTACGTGTTGTTGTTGTTGTTTATTGTAGGTTGTGGGAAGACGACGGCTTGGGAAGAAAGGCAGAGGAGGGTCAAATTTGTCAGGTGGTGGTGGTAAGTGCGATAACGTGGTCTATGTGTGTGTGTGTGTGTGTGTGTGGTTGTTGTTGTTGTTGTAACTTTTATACCATTGATGTGACAATAATCATAGTAGTAATAATGATAATAATAATAATAAGAAGAAAAACAAGGATAATAATGAAAGTTATCATGATAACTGTTGTGATTTTAATTGTTGGTGGGTTAGGTAGCAGCTGACTGACGTTAAATTTTGTGATGTTTTGTATATTTTAGAAGGCTTCTCTGGATTGCAACTGAATGACTCAGTGGCTGAAGTGTCCGAAGTTGAGCAGGGTAAATTTGGTGTTGTTTTGAAATGTGTATTTGAATGTTATTTGTTGTGGAGGAGTTGAATTGTTTATTGATGATGTTGATGATTTGTACTTTACCAGGTGGATTAGATGTCAATGTCAGTGGAGGTGTGTCGATTGTACCGGGAGGTGGGAAGTCGAATAGTGTTAGCGTGTTGACGACAGCTGTTGATTCGAGATTGTGTGATGTTGAGAAGGAAGGTTAGTGCAGTTCTGTTCACGTACTCAATAAAATGAATATGTATCATCTGTGTGGGTGTTTGTGTGAAGGCGTGGATGTATGTGTGTTGTTGGTGTGTTGAGTTTCGGAATGTGGTTTGATGATTTGTTGTTGAGGTTGATGTTCAGTTTTACGTGGGAATGTTGTTAGTGATGAGGATAGAGATATAGTCGGCGATTGAGTCGGTGGGAAGAAGTTGGAGCGACGTGTGAGATAGTGCATTAGATATGGTTGACAGACTTGTAAGGTGGTTGAGAATGTGAACTGTGAAGGTGACGAATATGTTGAGGGGGATGTTTCTGTTTGTTTGTGTGTGTGTGTGTGTGTGAATGAATAATATGCTTATAGAATGGTGGATTTTGAGGGATTTTCTTGTGAGGTTGTGAGAGTTGATTTGTAAGATTTGTGAGGCGTGAGTTGAGTGGGAGACAGAGACGACTATAATGGAATAGTGATTGGATCTGAGAAGCTGGCTAGTGTGAGTATAACTCTGTGTATCTGACGAGTGTTAGTTTTGTTGAGACTTGATGGTATTGAGTGTAAGAAGATGTATGTATTTCGGTAGTTATTGAGTGGTGATAGGTATGTTTTTGATGGATGTTTCGGGTGGGTGAGTGGGTGATTGATTGATTGAGTGTGTGTGTGTGTGTGTGTGTGTGTGTTTAACTGATAGTATTGTGTTGTATGGTGTGGAGATATATTCTAATGAAATTATGTGTATGGTTTTATTTGCAGAGTTGACGAGAGAGAAGGTTGTCGATGATAGGGATGTTTCGGTGAGTTGATTTGCCTTTGATGTATTTGTTGTTTTGTTTTTCTTGGTAGAGTCGAGTTTTTTTGTTTTGTTTTGTTTTGTTATGTGCATGTGGTTGGTGTTTCTTACGTGTTGTTGTTGTTGTTTATTGTAGGTTGTGGGAAGACGACGGCTTGGGAAGAAAGGCAGAGGAGGGTCAAATTTGTCAGGTGGTGGTGGTAAGTGCGATAACGTGGTCTATGTGTGTGTGTGTGTGTGTGTGTGTGTGGTTGTTGTTGTTGTTGTAACTTTTATACCATTGATGTGACAATAATCATAGTAGTAATAATGATAATAATAATAATAAGAAGAAAAACAAGGATAATAATGAAAGTTATCATGATAACTGTTGTGATTTTAATTGTTGGTGGGTTAGGTAGCAGCTGACTGACGTTAAATTTTGTGATGTTTTGTATATTTTAGAAGGCTTCTCTGGATTGCAACTGAATGACTCAGTGGCTGAAGTGTCCGAAGTTGAGCAGGGTAAATTTGGTGTTGTTTTGAAATGTGTATTTGAATGTTATTTGTTGTGGAGGAGTTGAATTGTTTATTGATGATGTTGATGATTTGTACTTTACCAGGTGGATTAGATGTCAATGTCAGTGGAGGTGTGTCGATTGTACCGGGAGGTGGGAAGTCGAATAGTGTTAGCGTGTTGACGACAGCTGTTGATTCGAGATTGTGTGATGTTGAGAAGGAAGGTTAGTGCAGTTCTGTTCACGTACTCAATAAAATGAATATGTATCATCTGTGTGGGTGTTTGTGTGAAGGCGTGGATGTATGTGTGTTGTTGGTGTGTTGAGTTTCGGAATGTGGTTTGATGATTTGTTGTTGAGGTTGATGTTCAGTTTTACGTGGGAATGTTGTTAGTGATGAGGATAGAGATATAGTCGGCGATTGAGTCGGTGGGAAGAAGTTGGAGCGACGTGTGAGATAGTGCATTAGATATGGTTGACAGACTTGTAAGGTGGTTGAGAATGTGAACTGTGAAGGTGACGAATATGTTGAGGGGGATGTTTCTGTTTGTTTGTGTGTGTGTGTGTGTGTGTGAATGAATAATATGCTTATAGAATGGTGGATTTTGAGGGATTTTCTTGTGAGGTTGTGAGAGTTGATTTGTAAGATTTGTGAGGCGTGAGTTGAGTGGGAGACAGAGACGACTATAATGGAATAGTGATTGGATCTGAGAAGCTGGCTAGTGTGAGTATAACTCTGTGTATCTGACGAGTGTTAGTTTTGTTGAGACTTGATGGTATTGAGTGTAAGAAGATGTATGTATTTCGGTAGTTATTGAGTGGTGATAGGTATGTTTTTGATGGATGTTTCGGGTGGGTGAGTGGGTGATTGATTGATTGAGTGTGTGTGTGTGTTTTTGTTTAACTGATAGTATTGTGTTGTATGGTGTGGAGATATATTCTAATGAAATTATGTGTATGGTTTTATTTGCAGAGTTGACGAGAGAGAAGGTTGTCGATGATAGGGATGTTTCGGTGAGTTGATTTGCCTTTGATGTATTTGTTGTTTTGTTTTTCTTGGTAGAGTCGAGTTTTTGTTTTGTTTTGTTTTGTTTTGTTATGTGCATGTGGTTGGTGTTTCTTACGTGTTGTTGTTGTTGTTTATTGTAGGTTGTGGGAAGACGACGGCTTGGGAAGAAAGGCAGAGGAGGGTCAAATTTGTCAGGTGGTGGTGGTAAGTGCGATAACGTGGTCTATGTGTGTGTGTGTGTGTGTGTGTGTGTTTGTTGTTGTTGTTGTTGTAACTTTTATACCATTGATGTGACAATAATCATAGTAGTAATAATGATAATAATAATAATAAGAAGAAAAACAAGGATAATAATGAAAGTTATCATGATAACTGTTGTGATTTTAATTGTTGGTGGGTTAGGTAGCAGCTGACTGACGTTAAATTTTGTGATGTTTTGTATATTTTAGAAGGCTTCTCTGGATTGCAACTGAATGACTCAGTGGCTGAAGTGTCCGAAGTTGAGCAGGGTAAATTTGGTGTTGTTTTGAAATGTGTATTTGAATGTTATTTGTTGTGGAGGAGTTGAATTGTTTATTGATGATGTTGATGATTTGTACTTTACCAGGTGGATTAGATGTCAATGTCAGTGGAGGTGTGTCGATTGTACCGGGAGGTGGGAAGTCGAATAGTGTTAGCGTGTTGACGACAGCTGTTGATTCGAGATTGTGTGATGTTGAGAAGGAAGGTTAGTGCAGTTCTGTTCACGTACTCAATAAAATGAATATGTATCATCTGTGTGGGTGTTTGTGTGAAGGCGTGGATGTATGTGTGTTGTTGGTGTGTTGAGTTTCGGAATGTGGTTTGATGATTTGTTGTTGAGGTTGATGTTCAGTTTTACGTGGGAATGTTGTTAGTGATGAGGATAGAGATATAGTCGGCGATTGAGTCGGTGGGAAGAAGTTGGAGCGACGTGTGAGATAGTGCATTAGATATGGTTGACAGACTTGTAAGGTGGTTGAGAATGTGAACTGTGAAGGTGACGAATATGTTGAGGGGGATGTTTCTGTTTGTTTGTGTGTGTGTGTGTGTGTGTGAATGAATAATATGCTTATAGAATGGTGGATTTTGAGGGATTTTCTTGTGAGGTTGTGAGAGTTGATTTGTAAGATTTGTGAGGCGTGAGTTGAGTGGGAGACAGAGACGACTATAATGGAATAGTGATTGGATCTGAGAAGCTGGCTAGTGTGAGTATAACTCTGTGTATCTGACGAGTGTTAGTTTTGTTGAGACTTGATGGTATTGAGTGTAAGAAGATGTATGTATTTCGGTAGTTATTGAGTGGTGATAGGTATGTTTTTGATGGATGTTTCGGGTGGGTGAGTGGGTGATTGATTGATTGAGTGTGTGTGTGTGTGTGTGTTTAACTGATAGTATTGTGTTGTATGGTGTGGAGATATATTCTAATGAAATTATGTGTATGGTTTTATTTGCAGAGTTGACGAGAGAGAAGGTTGTCGATGATAGGGATGTTTCGGTGAGTTGATTTGCCTTTGATGTATTTGTTGTTTTGTTTTTCTTGGTAGAGTCGAGTTTTTGTTTTGTTTTGTTTTGTTTTGTTATGTGCATGTGGTTGGTGTTTCTTACGTGTTGTTGTTGTTGTTTATTGTAGGTTGTGGGAAGACGACGGCTTGGGAAGAAAGGCAGAGGAGGGTCAAATTTGTCAGGTGGTGGTGGTAAGTGCGATAACGTGGTCTATGTGTGTGTGTGTGTGTGTGTGTGTGGTTGTTGTTGTTGTTGTAACTTTTATACCATTGATGTGACAATAATCATAGTAGTAATAATGATAATAATAATAATAAGAAGAAAAACAAGGATAATAATGAAAGTTATCATGATAACTGTTGTGATTTTAATTGTTGGTGGGTTAGGTAGCAGCTGACTGACGTTAAATTTTGTGATGTTTTGTATATTTTAGAAGGCTTCTCTGGATTGCAACTGAATGACTCAGTGGCTGAAGTGTCCGAAGTTGAGCAGGGTAAATTTGGTGTTGTTTTGAAATGTGTATTTGAATGTTATTTGTTGTGGAGGAGTTGAATTGTTTATTGATGATGTTGATGATTTGTACTTTACCAGGTGGATTAGATGTCAATGTCAGTGGAGGTGTGTCGATTGTACCGGGAGGTGGGAAGTCGAATAGTGTTAGCGTGTTGACGACAGCTGTTGATTCGAGATTGTGTGATGTTGAGAAGGAAGGTTAGTGCAGTTCTGTTCACGTACTCAATAAAATGAATATGTATCATCTGTGTGGGTGTTTGTGTGAAGGCGTGGATGTATGTGTGTTGTTGGTGTGTTGAGTTTCGGAATGTGGTTTGATGATTTGTTGTTGAGGTTGATGTTCAGTTTTACGTGGGAATGTTGTTAGTGATGAGGATAGAGATATAGTCGGCGATTGAGTCGGTGGGAAGAAGTTGGAGCGACGTGTGAGATAGTGCATTAGATATGGTTGACAGACTTGTAAGGTGGTTGAGAATGTGAACTGTGAAGGTGACGAATATGTTGAGGGGGATGTTTCTGTTTGTTTGTGTGTGTGTGTGTGTGTGAATGAATAATATGCTTATAGAATGGTGGATTTTGAGGGATTTTCTTGTGAGGTTGTGAGAGTTGATTTGTAAGATTTGTGAGGCGTGAGTTGAGTGGGAGACAGAGACGACTATAATGGAATAGTGATTGGATCTGAGAAGCTGGCTAGTGTGAGTATAACTCTGTGTATCTGACGAGTGTTAGTTTTGTTGAGACTTGATGGTATTGAGTGTAAGAAGATGTATGTATTTCGGTAGTTATTGAGTGGTGATAGGTATGTTTTTGATGGATGTTTCGGGTGGGTGAGTGGGTGATTGATTGATTGAGTGTGTGTGTGTGTGTGTTTAACTGATAGTATTGTGTTGTATGGTGTGGAGATATATTCTAATGAAATTATGTGTATGGTTTTATTTGCAGAGTTGACGAGAGAGAAGGTTGTCGATGATAGGGATGTTTCGGTGAGTTGATTTGCCTTTGATGTATTTGTTGTTTTGTTTTTCTTGGTAGAGTCGAGTTTTTGTTTTGTTTTGTTTTGTTTTGTTATGTGCATGTGGTTGGTGTTTCTTACGTGTTGTTGTTGTTGTTTATTGTAGGTTGTGGGAAGACGACGGCTTGGGAAGAAAGGCAGAGGAGGGTCAAATTTGTCAGGTGGTGGTGGTAAGTGCGATAACGTGGTCTATGTGTGTGTGTGTGTGTGTGTGTGTGTGGTTGTTGTTGTTGTTGTAACTTTTATACCATTGATGTGACAATAATCATAGTAGTAATAATGATAATAATAATAATAAGAAGAAAAACAAGGATAATAATGAAAGTTATCATGATAACTGTTGTGATTTTAATTGTTGGTGGGTTAGGTAGCAGCTGACTGACGTTAAATTTTGTGATGTTTTGTATATTTTAGAAGGCTTCTCTGGATTGCAACTGAATGACTCAGTGGCTGAAGTGTCCGAAGTTGAGCAGGGTAAATTTGGTGTTGTTTTGAAATGTGTATTTGAATGTTATTTGTTGTGGAGGAGTTGAATTGTTTATTGATGATGTTGATGATTTGTACTTTACCAGGTGGATTAGATGTCAATGTCAGTGGAGGTGTGTCGATTGTACCGGGAGGTGGGAAGTCGAATAGTGTTAGCGTGTTGACGACAGCTGTTGATTCGAGATTGTGTGATGTTGAGAAGGAAGGTTAGTGCAGTTCTGTTCACGTACTCAATAAAATGAATATGTATCATCTGTGTGGGTGTTTGTGTGAAGGCGTGGATGTATGTGTGTTGTTGGTGTGTTGAGTTTCGGAATGTGGTTTGATGATTTGTTGTTGAGGTTGATGTTCAGTTTTACGTGGGAATGTTGTTAGTGATGAGGATAGAGATATAGTCGGCGATTGAGTCGGTGGGAAGAAGTTGGAGCGACGTGTGAGATAGTGCATTAGATATGGTTGACAGACTTGTAAGGTGGTTGAGAATGTGAACTGTGAAGGTGACGAATATGTTGAGGGGGATGTTTCTGTTTGTTTGTGTGTGTGTGTGTGTGTGTGAATGAATAATATGCTTATAGAATGGTGGATTTTGAGGGATTTTCTTGTGAGGTTGTGAGAGTTGATTTGTAAGATTTGTGAGGCGTGAGTTGAGTGGGAGACAGAGACGACTATAATGGAATAGTGATTGGATCTGAGAAGCTGGCTAGTGTGAGTATAACTCTGTGTATCTGACGAGTGTTAGTTTTGTTGAGACTTGATGGTATTGAGTGTAAGAAGATGTATGTATTTCGGTAGTTATTGAGTGGTGATAGGTATGTTTTTGATGGATGTTTCGGGTGGGTGAGTGGGTGATTGATTGATTGAGTGTGTGTGTGTGTGTTTAACTGATAGTATTGTGTTGTATGGTGTGGAGATATATTCTAATGAAATTATGTGTATGGTTTTATTTGCAGAGTTGACGAGAGAGAAGGTTGTCGATGATAGGGATGTTTCGGTGAGTTGATTTGCCTTTGATGTATTTGTTGTTTTGTTTTTCTTGGTAGAGTCGAGTTTTTGTTTTGTTTTGTTTTGTTTTGTTATGTGCATGTGGTTGGTGTTTCTTACGTGTTGTTGTTGTTGTTTATTGTAGGTTGTGGGAAGACGACGGCTTGGGAAGAAAGGCAGAGGAGGGTCAAATTTGTCAGGTGGTGGTGGTAAGTGCGATAACGTGGTCTATGTGTGTGTGTGTGTGTGTGTGTGTGTGGTTGTTGTTGTAACTTTTATACCATTGATGTGACAATAATCATAGTAGTAATAATGATAATAATAATAAGAAGAAGAAAAACAAGGATAATAATGAAAGTTATCATGATAACTGTTGTGATTTTAATTGTTGGTGGGTTAGGTAGCAGCTGACTGACGTTAAATTTTGTGATGTTTTGTATATTTTAGAAGGCTTCTCTGGATTGCAACTGAATGACTCAGTGGCTGAAGTGTCCGAAGTTGAGCAGGGTAAATTTGGTGTTGTTTTGAAATGTGTATTTGAATGTTATTTGTTGTGGAGGAGTTGAATTGTTTATTGATGATGTTGATGATTTGTACTTTACCAGGTGGATTAGATGTCAATGTCAGTGGAGGTGTGTCGATTGTACCGGGAGGTGGGAAGTCGAATAGTGTTAGCGTGTTGACGACAGCTGTTGATTCGAGATTGTGTGATGTTGAGAAGGAAGGTTAGTGCAGTTCTGTTCACGTACTCAATAAAATGAATATGTATCATCTGTGTGGGTGTTTGTGTGAAGGCGTGGATGTATGTGTGTTGTTGGTGTGTTGAGTTTCGGAATGTGGTTTGATGATTTGTTGTTGAGGTTGATGTTCAGTTTTACGTGGGAATGTTGTTAGTGATGAGGATAGAGATATAGTCGGCGATTGAGTCGGTGGGAAGAAGTTGGAGCGACGTGTGAGATAGTGCATTAGATATGGTTGACAGACTTGTAAGGTGGTTGAGAATGTGAACTGTGAAGGTGACGAATATGTTGAGGGGGATGTTTCTGTTTGTTTGTGTGTGTGTGTGTGTGTGTGTGAATGAATAATATGCTTATAGAATGGTGGATTTTGAGGGATTTTCTTGTGAGGTTGTGAGAGTTGATTTGTAAGATTTGTGAGGCGTGAGTTGAGTGGGAGACAGAGACGACTATAATGGAATAGTGATTGGATCTGAGAAGCTGGCTAGTGTGAGTATAACTCTGTGTATCTGACGAGTGTTAGTTTTGTTGAGACTTGATGGTATTGAGTGTAAGAAGATGTATGTATTTCGGTAGTTATTGAGTGGTGATAGGTATGTTTTTGATGGATGTTTCGGGTGGGTGAGTGGGTGATTGATTGATTGAGTGTGTGTGTGTGTGTGTGTTTAACTGATAGTATTGTGTTGTATGGTGTGGAGATATATTCTAATGAAATTATGTGTATGGTTTTATTTGCAGAGTTGACGAGAGAGAAGGTTGTCGATGATAGGGATGTTTCGGTGAGTTGATTTGCCTTTGATGTATTTGTTGTTTTGTTTTTCTTGGTAGAGTCGAGTTTTTGTTTTGTTTTGTTTTTTTTTGTTATGTGCATGTGGTTGGTGTTTCTTACGTGTTGTTGTTGTTGTTTATTGTAGGTTGTGGGAAGACGACGGCTTGGGAAGAAAGGCAGAGGAGGGTCAAATTTGTCAGGTGGTGGTGGTAAGTGCGATAACGTGGTCTATGTGTGTGTGTGTGTGTGTGTGTGTTGTTGTTGTTGTTGTAACTTTTATACCATTGATGTGACAATAATCATAGTAGTAATAATGATAATAATAATAATAAGAAGAAAAACAAGGATAATAATGAAAGTTATCATGATAACTGTTGTGATTTTAATTGTTGGTGGGTTAGGTAGCAGCTGACTGACGTTAAATTTTGTGATGTTTTGTATATTTTAGAAGGCTTCTCTGGATTGCAACTGAATGACTCAGTGGCTGAAGTGTCCGAAGTTGAGCAGGGTAAATTTGGTGTTGTTTTGAAATGTGTATTTGAATGTTATTTGTTGTGGAGGAGTTGAATTGTTTATTGATGATGTTGATGATTTGTACTTTACCAGGTGGATTAGATGTCAATGTCAGTGGAGGTGTGTCGATTGTACCGGGAGGTGGGAAGTCGAATAGTGTTAGCGTGTTGACGACAGCTGTTGATTCGAGATTGTGTGATGTTGAGAAGGAAGGTTAGTGCAGTTCTGTTCACGTACTCAATAAAATGAATATGTATCATCTGTGTGGGTGTTTGTGTGAAGGCGTGGATGTATGTGTGTTGTTGGTGTGTTGAGTTTCGGAATGTGGTTTGATGATTTGTTGTTGAGGTTGATGTTCAGTTTTACGTGGGAATGTTGTTAGTGATGAGGATAGAGATATAGTCGGCGATTGAGTCGGTGGGAAGAAGTTGGAGCGACGTGTGAGATAGTGCATTAGATATGGTTGACAGACTTGTAAGGTGGTTGAGAATGTGAACTGTGAAGGTGACGAATATGTTGAGGGGGATGTTTCTGTTTGTTTGTGTGTGTTTTTGTGTGTGAATGAATAATATGCTTATAGAATGGTGGATTTTGAGGGATTTTCTTGTGAGGTTGTGAGAGTTGATTTGTAAGATTTGTGAGGCGTGAGTTGAGTGGGAGACAGAGACGACTATAATGGAATAGTGATTGGATCTGAGAAGCTGGCTAGTGTGAGTATAACTCTGTGTATCTGACGAGTGTTAGTTTTGTTGAGACTTGATGGTATTGAGTGTAAGAAGATGTATGTATTTCGGTAGTTATTGAGTGGTGATAGGTATGTTTTTGATGGATGTTTCGGGTGGGTGAGTGGGTGATTGATTGATTGAGTGTGTGTGTGTGTGTGTGTTTAACTGATAGTATTGTGTTGTATGGTGTGGAGATATATTCTAATGAAATTATGTGTATGGTTTTATTTGCAGAGTTGACGAGAGAGAAGGTTGTCGATGATAGGGATGTTTCGGTGAGTTGATTTGCCTTTGATGTATTTGTTGTTTTGTTTTTCTTGGTAGAGTCGAGTTTTTGTTTTGTTTTGTTTTGTTTTGTTATGTGCATGTGGTTGGTGTTTCTTACGTGTTGTTGTTGTTGTTTATTGTAGGTTGTGGGAAGACGACGGCTTGGGAAGAAAGGCAGAGGAGGGTCAAATTTGTCAGGTGGTGGTGGTAAGTGCGATAACGTGGTCTATGTGTGTGTGTGTGTGTGTGTGTGTGGTTGTTGTTGTTGTTGTAACTTTTATACCATTGATGTGACAATAATCATAGTAGTAATAATGATAATAATAATAATAAGAAGAAAAACAAGGATAATAATGAAAGTTATCATGATAACTGTTGTGATTTTAATTGTTGGTGGGTTAGGTAGCAGCTGACTGACGTTAAATTTTGTGATGTTTTGTATATTTTAGAAGGCTTCTCTGGATTGCAACTGAATGACTCAGTGGCTGAAGTGTCCGAAGTTGAGCAGGGTAAATTTGGTGTTGTTTTGAAATGTGTATTTGAATGTTATTTGTTGTGGAGGAGTTGAATTGTTTATTGATGATGTTGATGATTTGTACTTTACCAGGTGGATTAGATGTCAATGTCAGTGGAGGTGTGTCGATTGTACCGGGAGGTGGGAAGTCGAATAGTGTTAGCGTGTTGACGACAGCTGTTGATTCGAGATTGTGTGATGTTGAGAAGGAAGGTTAGTGCAGTTCTGTTCACGTACTCAATAAAATGAATATGTATCATCTGTGTGGGTGTTTGTGTGAAGGCGTGGATGTATGTGTGTTGTTGGTGTGTTGAGTTTCGGAATGTGGTTTGATGATTTGTTGTTGAGGTTGATGTTCAGTTTTACGTGGGAATGTTGTTAGTGATGAGGATAGAGATATAGTCGGCGATTGAGTCGGTGGGAAGAAGTTGGAGCGACGTGTGAGATAGTGCATTAGATATGGTTGACAGACTTGTAAGGTGGTTGAGAATGTGAACTGTGAAGGTGACGAATATGTTGAGGGGGATGTTTCTGTTTGTTTGTGTGTGTGTGTGTGTGTGTGTGAATGAATAATATGCTTATAGAATGGTGGATTTTGAGGGATTTTCTTGTGAGGTTGTGAGAGTTGATTTGTAAGATTTGTGAGGCGTGAGTTGAGTGGGAGACAGAGACGACTATAATGGAATAGTGATTGGATCTGAGAAGCTGGCTAGTGTGAGTATAACTCTGTGTATCTGACGAGTGTTAGTTTTGTTGAGACTTGATGGTATTGAGTGTAAGAAGATGTATGTATTTCGGTAGTTATTGAGTGGTGATAGGTATGTTTTTGATGGATGTTTCGGGTGGGTGAGTGGGTGATTGATTGATTGAGTGTGTGTGTGTGTTTGTTTAACTGATAGTATTGTGTTGTATGGTGTGGAGATATATTCTAATGAAATTATGTGTATGGTTTTATTTGCAGAGTTGACGAGAGAGAAGGTTGTCGATGATAGGGATGTTTCGGTGAGTTGATTTGCCTTTGATGTATTTGTTGTTTTGTTTTTCTTGGTAGAGTCGAGTTTTTGTTTTGTTTTGTTTTTTTTTTTTATGTGCATGTGGTTGGTGTTTCTTACGTGTTGTTGTTGTTGTTTATTGTAGGTTGTGGGAAGACGACGGCTTGGGAAGAAAGGCAGAGGAGGGTCAAATTTGTCAGGTGGTGGTGGTAAGTGCGATAACGTGGTCTATGTGTGTGTGTGTGTGTGTGTGTGTGGTTGTTGTTGTTGTTGTAACTTTTATACCATTGATGTGACAATAATCATAGTAGTAATAATGATAATAATAATAATAAGAAGAAAAACAAGGATAATAATGAAAGTTATCATGATAACTGTTGTGATTTTAATTGTTGGTGGGTTAGGTAGCAGCTGACTGACGTTAAATTTTGTGATGTTTTGTATATTTTAGAAGGCTTCTCTGGATTGCAACTGAATGACTCAGTGGCTGAAGTGTCCGAAGTTGAGCAGGGTAAATTTGGTGTTGTTTTGAAATGTGTATTTGAATGTTATTTGTTGTGGAGGAGTTGAATTGTTTATTGATGATGTTGATGATTTGTACTTTACCAGGTGGATTAGATGTCAATGTCAGTGGAGGTGTGTCGATTGTACCGGGAGGTGGGAAGTCGAATAGTGTTAGCGTGTTGACGACAGCTGTTGATTCGAGATTGTGTGATGTTGAGAAGGAAGGTTAGTGCAGTTCTGTTCACGTACTCAATAAAATGAATATGTATCATCTGTGTGGGTGTTTGTGTGAAGGCGTGGATGTATGTGTGTTGTTGGTGTGTTGAGTTTCGGAATGTGGTTTGATGATTTGTTGTTGAGGTTGATGTTCAGTTTTACGTGGGAATGTTGTTAGTGATGAGGATAGAGATATAGTCGGCGATTGAGTCGGTGGGAAGAAGTTGGAGCGACGTGTGAGATAGTGCATTAGATATGGTTGACAGACTTGTAAGGTGGTTGAGAATGTGAACTGTGAAGGTGACGAATATGTTGAGGGGGATGTTTCTGTTTGTTTGTGTGTGTGTGTGTGTGTGTGTGAATGAATAATATGCTTATAGAATGGTGGATTTTGAGGGATTTTCTTGTGAGGTTGTGAGAGTTGATTTGTAAGATTTGTGAGGCGTGAGTTGAGTGGGAGACAGAGACGACTATAATGGAATAGTGATTGGATCTGAGAAGCTGGCTAGTGTGAGTATAACTCTGTGTATCTGACGAGTGTTAGTTTTGTTGAGACTTGATGGTATTGAGTGTAAGAAGATGTATGTATTTCGGTAGTTATTGAGTGGTGATAGGTATGTTTTTGATGGATGTTTCGGGTGGGTGAGTGGGTGATTGATTGATTGAGTGTGTGTGTGTGTGTGTGTGTTTAACTGATAGTATTGTGTTGTATGGTGTGGAGATATATTCTAATGAAATTATGTGTATGGTTTTATTTGCAGAGTTGACGAGAGAGAAGGTTGTCGATGATAGGGATGTTTCGGTGAGTTGATTTGCCTTTGATGTATTTGTTGTTTTGTTTTTCTTGGTAGAGTCGAGTTTTTGTTTTGTTTTGTTTTGTTTTGTTATGTGCATGTGGTTGGTGTTTCTTACGTGTTGTTGTTGTTGTTTATTGTAGGTTGTGGGAAGACGACGGCTTGGGAAGAAAGGCAGAGGAGGGTCAAATTTGTCAGGTGGTGGTGGTAAGTGCGATAACGTGGTCTATGTGTGTGTGTGTGTGTGTGTGTGTGTGGTTGTTGTTGTTGTTGTAACTTTTATACCATTGATGTGACAATAATCATAGTAGTAATAATGATAATAATAATAATAAGAAGAAAAACAAGGATAATAATGAAAGTTATCATGATAACTGTTGTGATTTTAATTGTTGGTGGGTTAGGTAGCAGCTGACTGACGTTAAATTTTGTGATGTTTTGTATATTTTAGAAGGCTTCTCTGGATTGCAACTGAATGACTCAGTGGCTGAAGTGTCCGAAGTTGAGCAGGGTAAATTTGGTGTTGTTTTGAAATGTGTATTTGAATGTTATTTGTTGTGGAGGAGTTGAATTGTTTATTGATGATGTTGATGATTTGTACTTTACCAGGTGGATTAGATGTCAATGTCAGTGGAGGTGTGTCGATTGTACCGGGAGGTGGGAAGTCGAATAGTGTTAGCGTGTTGACGACAGCTGTTGATTCGAGATTGTGTGATGTTGAGAAGGAAGGTTAGTGCAGTTCTGTTCACGTACTCAATAAAATGAATATGTATCATCTGTGTGGGTGTTTGTGTGAAGGCGTGGATGTATGTGTGTTGTTGGTGTGTTGAGTTTCGGAATGTGGTTTGATGATTTGTTGTTGAGGTTGATGTTCAGTTTTACGTGGGAATGTTGTTAGTGATGAGGATAGAGATATAGTCGGCGATTGAGTCGGTGGGAAGAAGTTGGAGCGACGTGTGAGATAGTGCATTAGATATGGTTGACAGACTTGTAAGGTGGTTGAGAATGTGAACTGTGAAGGTGACGAATATGTTGAGGGGGATGTTTCTGTTTGTTTGTGTGTGTTTTTTTTTTTTAATGAATAATATGCTTATAGAATGGTGGATTTTGAGGGATTTTCTTGTGAGGTTGTGAGAGTTGATTTGTAAGATTTGTGAGGCGTGAGTTGAGTGGGAGACAGAGACGACTATAATGGAATAGTGATTGGATCTGAGAAGCTGGCTAGTGTGAGTATAACTCTGTGTATCTGACGAGTGTTAGTTTTGTTGAGACTTGATGGTATTGAGTGTAAGAAGATGTATGTATTTCGGTAGTTATTGAGTGGTGATAGGTATGTTTTTGATGGATGTTTCGGGTGGGTGAGTGGGTGATTGATTGATTGAGTGTGTGTGTGTGTGTGTGTTTAACTGATAGTATTGTGTTGTATGGTGTGGAGATATATTCTAATGAAATTATGTGTATGGTTTTATTTGCAGAGTTGACGAGAGAGAAGGTTGTCGATGATAGGGATGTTTCGGTGAGTTGATTTGCCTTTGATGTATTTGTTGTTTTGTTTTTCTTGGTAGAGTCGAGTTTTTGTTTTGTTTTGTTTTGTTTTGTTATGTGCATGTGGTTGGTGTTTCTTACGTGTTGTTGTTGTTGTTTATTGTAGGTTGTGGGAAGACGACGGCTTGGGAAGAAAGGCAGAGGAGGGTCAAATTTGTCAGGTGGTGGTGGTAAGTGCGATAACGTGGTCTATGTGTGTGTGTGTGTGTGTGTGTGTGGTTGTTGTTGTTGTTGTAACTTTTATACCATTGATGTGACAATAATCATAGTAGTAATAATGATAATAATAATAATAAGAAGAAAAACAAGGATAATAATGAAAGTTATCATGATAACTGTTGTGATTTTAATTGTTGGTGGGTTAGGTAGCAGCTGACTGACGTTAAATTTTGTGATGTTTTGTATATTTTAGAAGGCTTCTCTGGATTGCAACTGAATGACTCAGTGGCTGAAGTGTCCGAAGTTGAGCAGGGTAAATTTGGTGTTGTTTTGAAATGTGTATTTGAATGTTATTTGTTGTGGAGGAGTTGAATTGTTTATTGATGATGTTGATGATTTGTACTTTACCAGGTGGATTAGATGTCAATGTCAGTGGAGGTGTGTCGATTGTACCGGGAGGTGGGAAGTCGAATAGTGTTAGCGTGTTGACGACAGCTGTTGATTCGAGATTGTGTGATGTTGAGAAGGAAGGTTAGTGCAGTTCTGTTCACGTACTCAATAAAATGAATATGTATCATCTGTGTGGGTGTTTGTGTGAAGGCGTGGATGTATGTGTGTTGTTGGTGTGTTGAGTTTCGGAATGTGGTTTGATGATTTGTTGTTGAGGTTGATGTTCAGTTTTACGTGGGAATGTTGTTAGTGATGAGGATAGAGATATAGTCGGCGATTGAGTCGGTGGGAAGAAGTTGGAGCGACGTGTGAGATAGTGCATTAGATATGGTTGACAGACTTGTAAGGTGGTTGAGAATGTGAACTGTGAAGGTGACGAATATGTTGAGGGGGATGTTTCTGTTTGTTTGTGTGTGTTTTTTTTTTTGAATGAATAATATGCTTATAGAATGGTGGATTTTGAGGGATTTTCTTGTGAGGTTGTGAGAGTTGATTTGTAAGATTTGTGAGGCGTGAGTTGAGTGGGAGACAGAGACGACTATAATGGAATAGTGATTGGATCTGAGAAGCTGGCTAGTGTGAGTATAACTCTGTGTATCTGACGAGTGTTAGTTTTGTTGAGACTTGATGGTATTGAGTGTAAGAAGATGTATGTATTTCGGTAGTTATTGAGTGGTGATAGGTATGTTTTTGATGGATGTTTCGGGTGGGTGAGTGGGTGATTGATTGATTGAGTGTGTGTGTGTGTGTGTGTGTTTAACTGATAGTATTGTGTTGTATGGTGTGGAGATATATTCTAATGAAATTATGTGTATGGTTTTATTTGCAGAGTTGACGAGAGAGAAGGTTGTCGATGATAGGGATGTTTCGGTGAGTTGATTTGCCTTTGATGTATTTGTTGTTTTGTTTTTCTTGGTAGAGTCGAGTTTTTGTTTTGTTTTGTTTTGTTTTGTTATGTGCATGTGGTTGGTGTTTCTTACGTGTTGTTGTTGTTGTTTATTGTAGGTTGTGGGAAGACGACGGCTTGGGAAGAAAGGCAGAGGAGGGTCAAATTTGTCAGGTGGTGGTGGTAAGTGCGATAACGTGGTCTATGTGTGTGTGTGTGTGTGTGTGTGTGGTTGTTGTTGTTGTTGTAACTTTTATACCATTGATGTGACAATAATCATAGTAGTAATAATGATAATAATAATAATAATAAGAAAAACAAGGATAATAATGAAAGTTATCATGATAACTGTTGTGATTTTAATTGTTGGTGGGTTAGGTAGCAGCTGACTGACGTTAAATTTTGTGATGTTTTGTATATTTTAGAAGGCTTCTCTGGATTGCAACTGAATGACTCAGTGGCTGAAGTGTCCGAAGTTGAGCAGGGTAAATTTGGTGTTGTTTTGAAATGTGTATTTGAATGTTATTTGTTGTGGAGGAGTTGAATTGTTTATTGATGATGTTGATGATTTGTACTTTACCAGGTGGATTAGATGTCAATGTCAGTGGAGGTGTGTCGATTGTACCGGGAGGTGGGAAGTCGAATAGTGTTAGCGTGTTGACGACAGCTGTTGATTCGAGATTGTGTGATGTTGAGAAGGAAGGTTAGTGCAGTTCTGTTCACGTACTCAATAAAATGAATATGTATCATCTGTGTGGGTGTTTGTGTGAAGGCGTGGATGTATGTGTGTTGTTGGTGTGTTGAGTTTCGGAATGTGGTTTGATGATTTGTTGTTGAGGTTGATGTTCAGTTTTACGTGGGAATGTTGTTAGTGATGAGGATAGAGATATAGTCGGCGATTGAGTCGGTGGGAAGAAGTTGGAGCGACGTGTGAGATAGTGCATTAGATATGGTTGACAGACTTGTAAGGTGGTTGAGAATGTGAACTGTGAAGGTGACGAATATGTTGAGGGGGATGTTTCTGTTTGTTTGTGTGTGTGTGTGTGTGTGTGAATGAATAATATGCTTATAGAATGGTGGATTTTGAGGGATTTTCTTGTGAGGTTGTGAGAGTTGATTTGTAAGATTTGTGAGGCGTGAGTTGAGTGGGAGACAGAGACGACTATAATGGAATAGTGATTGGATCTGAGAAGCTGGCTAGTGTGAGTATAACTCTGTGTATCTGACGAGTGTTAGTTTTGTTGAGACTTGATGGTATTGAGTGTAAGAAGATGTATGTATTTCGGTAGTTATTGAGTGGTGATAGGTATGTTTTTGATGGATGTTTCGGGTGGGTGAGTGGGTGATTGATTGATTGAGTGTGTGTGTGTGTGTGTGTGTTTAACTGATAGTATTGTGTTGTATGGTGTGGAGATATATTCTAATGAAATTATGTGTATGGTTTTATTTGCAGAGTTGACGAGAGAGAAGGTTGTCGATGATAGGGATGTTTCGGTGAGTTGATTTGCCTTTGATGTATTTGTTGTTTTGTTTTTCTTGGTAGAGTCGAGTTTTTGTTTTGTTTTGTTTTGTTTTGTTATGTGCATGTGGTTGGTGTTTCTTACGTGTTGTTGTTGTTGTTTATTGTAGGTTGTGGGAAGACGACGGCTTGGGAAGAAAGGCAGAGGAGGGTCAAATTTGTCAGGTGGTGGTGGTAAGTGCGATAACGTGGTCTATGTGTGTGTGTGTGTGTGTGTGTGTGTGGTTGTTGTTGTTGTTGTAACTTTTATACCATTGATGTGACAATAATCATAGTAGTAATAATGATAATAATAATAATAAGAAGAAAAACAAGGATAATAATGAAAGTTATCATGATAACTGTTGTGATTTTAATTGTTGGTGGGTTAGGTAGCAGCTGACTGACGTTAAATTTTGTGATGTTTTGTATATTTTAGAAGGCTTCTCTGGATTGCAACTGAATGACTCAGTGGCTGAAGTGTCCGAAGTTGAGCAGGGTAAATTTGGTGTTGTTTTGAAATGTGTATTTGAATGTTATTTGTTGTGGAGGAGTTGAATTGTTTATTGATGATGTTGATGATTTGTACTTTACCAGGTGGATTAGATGTCAATGTCAGTGGAGGTGTGTCGATTGTACCGGGAGGTGGGAAGTCGAATAGTGTTAGCGTGTTGACGACAGCTGTTGATTCGAGATTGTGTGATGTTGAGAAGGAAGGTTAGTGCAGTTCTGTTCACGTACTCAATAAAATGAATATGTATCATCTGTGTGGGTGTTTGTGTGAAGGCGTGGATGTATGTGTGTTGTTGGTGTGTTGAGTTTCGGAATGTGGTTTGATGATTTGTTGTTGAGGTTGATGTTCAGTTTTACGTGGGAATGTTGTTAGTGATGAGGATAGAGATATAGTCGGCGATTGAGTCGGTGGGAAGAAGTTGGAGCGACGTGTGAGATAGTGCATTAGATATGGTTGACAGACTTGTAAGGTGGTTGAGAATGTGAACTGTGAAGGTGACGAATATGTTGAGGGGGATGTTTCTGTTTGTTTGTGTGTGTGTGTGTGTGTGTGTGAATGAATAATATGCTTATAGAATGGTGGATTTTGAGGGATTTTCTTGTGAGGTTGTGAGAGTTGATTTGTAAGATTTGTGAGGCGTGAGTTGAGTGGGAGACAGAGACGACTATAATGGAATAGTGATTGGATCTGAGAAGCTGGCTAGTGTGAGTATAACTCTGTGTATCTGACGAGTGTTAGTTTTGTTGAGACTTGATGGTATTGAGTGTAAGAAGATGTATGTATTTCGGTAGTTATTGAGTGGTGATAGGTATGTTTTTGATGGATGTTTCGGGTGGGTGAGTGGGTGATTGATTGATTGAGTGTGTGTGTGTGTGTGTGTGTTTAACTGATAGTATTGTGTTGTATGGTGTGGAGATATATTCTAATGAAATTATGTGTATGGTTTTATTTGCAGAGTTGACGAGAGAGAAGGTTGTCGATGATAGGGATGTTTCGGTGAGTTGATTTGCCTTTGATGTATTTGTTGTTTTGTTTTTCTTGGTAGAGTCGAGTTTTTGTTTTGTTTTGTTTTGTTTTGTTATGTGCATGTGGTTGGTGTTTCTTACGTGTTGTTGTTGTTGTTTATTGTAGGTTGTGGGAAGACGACGGCTTGGGAAGAAAGGCAGAGGAGGGTCAAATTTGTCAGGTGGTGGTGGTAAGTGCGATAACGTGGTCTATGTGTGTGTGTGTGTGTGTGTGTGTGTGTGTGGTTGTTGTTGTTGTTGTAACTTTTATACCATTGATGTGACAATAATCATAGTAGTAATAATGATAATAATAATAATAAGAAGAAAAACAAGGATAATAATGAAAGTTATCATGATAACTGTTGTGATTTTAATTGTTGGTGGGTTAGGTAGCAGCTGACTGACGTTAAATTTTGTGATGTTTTGTATATTTTAGAAGGCTTCTCTGGATTGCAACTGAATGACTCAGTGGCTGAAGTGTCCGAAGTTGAGCAGGGTAAATTTGGTGTTGTTTTGAAATGTGTATTTGAATGTTATTTGTTGTGGAGGAGTTGAATTGTTTATTGATGATGTTGATGATTTGTACTTTACCAGGTGGATTAGATGTCAATGTCAGTGGAGGTGTGTCGATTGTACCGGGAGGTGGGAAGTCGAATAGTGTTAGCGTGTTGACGACAGCTGTTGATTCGAGATTGTGTGATGTTGAGAAGGAAGGTTAGTGCAGTTCTGTTCACGTACTCAATAAAATGAATATGTATCATCTGTGTGGGTGTTTGTGTGAAGGCGTGGATGTATGTGTGTTGTTGGTGTGTTGAGTTTCGGAATGTGGTTTGATGATTTGTTGTTGAGGTTGATGTTCAGTTTTACGTGGGAATGTTGTTAGTGATGAGGATAGAGATATAGTCGGCGATTGAGTCGGTGGGAAGAAGTTGGAGCGACGTGTGAGATAGTGCATTAGATATGGTTGACAGACTTGTAAGGTGGTTGAGAATATGTTGAGGGGGATGTTTCTGTTTGTTTGTGTGTGTGGGTGAATGAAGAATATTCCCAAATATTGGTAGGTTTTGGGAGATGGTTTGTTTTAAGATATTAAGTTTTCAATTGTATTTATGTTTCAATGTTGTCGTGTAAGTAGATTGTGTTGGTTGTTGCTTTTAGGTCTGAATTTTTGCGTCAATGTGATAGTGTTTTTTTTTGAATTATGTATTTTTTTGGGGTGTATTTGAAGAGTGAATACTGATGGTATTCTTAGCCAAAGTTTGATGGGAAATCGAGGAATGAATAAGTATCCTGTAAGGAGAGCTGCGTGGCTGCATTCCTCGTAATGTTTGCGGTTAATCTGGTTTTTTTGCACACTCATTTGGTTTTCCGAAGCGTATATGGAGGGCTTGTGTAGTAGAAAGAAGCCGAAAACTCACAATGGCTTCAGTAGATTTTTTTGCTGTGTAAATGACTCTGAATGAAGAGTCAGCTGAGATACTGTGGAAAGTTTTGATAATGTTTTCTATTGTGTTGTGTTATTGGGGATGCGTTTGGATTGTTTGTTGTGGTGGTGATATTTATACATATCTATCTATTATGCAATTGTAAGGGATTTTTTTAATGAGAATTGTTTGAGGATTTTTTATGGGATAGATGAGGGAGGAATGTACTTGTAGGGCTTTTGGATAACATTATCAGAAGGTATTTTTGTTGCGCGATATTGTTTTTCTTGAGTTTTTGTTTATTGTTAAGGAATTGAATAAGTTAGTGATAATCTTACCTTATTTGTGCTTTTCTAGGTACATTAAATGACAATGTCACTAGTGGTACGTCGATTGGTTCACGAGCTAGGAAGTCGATTTCTATTCGCGTTTTGACGGAGGTGGATTCGAAATTGTGTGATGTTGAGAATGAAGGTTAGTACAGTTCTGTTCATGTTGCATGTTTTCATGGGCGTTTTGTGTCTGGCTTTTTATATTCCTTAGTTTCGATGTCGTTAGTTTAGATTAATCTTTCTGCAGCTGTTGTGGTCACGAAATTTACTTAAAGTGTTTCCGTGTTGGATATTCGTCGGTGTTTCTGGGATTTGCTCGGGCTGAGGTTGAATTTATATACCTAGTTGTTTTATATGTGTGCTTGTATCTGTGTAGCCGATTCTGTTTTGATGGTGTATTTTCAATTTAAAAAAAATAGTGTTGGTTTTGTTATAATCTGTGCTTTCACGGTTTTGTTTCGTGTTTTTTTTGCCTTCCTGTGTTTCTATCTTCATAGGTCGGTTAAGCAAATCTCGTCGTTCCTCTTCCTCGAGCGTAAGTCTTGTTGTCATTTAATTCCTTATACACTGGATATGGTTGCGAATCTCGATAACTACTTATTCAAATATTGACTGTAGCGTTTCTGTTTGAATTTTTGATTTTCTTATATTTCATTCTTTCTATTCATTATTCATATGAGTATTACTGGTTTTTTTTCACATATCTAAGATAATTGTTAATTAATTCTGTTTGCGTTGGTGGCACAGCGGTTAGGACGCTCGCCGACCATGCACATGGTCCGAGGTTTGACCCCCGGCCGACGCACTCCTTTACCTCGCTAAGCCAGAAAAACTGCTGGTAAAAGAGGAAAGGTTGGGCATGAGGCTAGTAACCCCATCCTGTAAAATAAACACTGCTGCAGAAACTTCAAGCCACTAGCTTGAAGCCCTATTTTCCACTGGAAACGTGAAGGAAAAATTATTATTATTTATTAAGATAATTGTTAATTAATTCTATTTGAATTTACAGTTATTTGATTCGGTGAAGAGTCCTTCTTCTCCTTTTGAATCAAGTGACAAGGGTGAACAATACCTAACACTGGAGTATGGCAAGGCAAATATACCATGGTTCATAAGATAGATCCTAGACTGCCTGACTGATTTATTGGTATTATTTTATTCGTATTCGTTCCTAGAGGAAAATAAGGCTTCAAGTTTGAGATTTGAAGTTTCAGTAGCCCTGGTGTTTGTTACAGGGTTGAGTCGCTAACCTCACTCCAGTTTACAACCGTCCAGGAGAAGGCTGGGGGAGGGTTAAGGTATTCGCCGGTCGGGAATCGAATCCAGACCAACGTGCAGGGTTGGCGAACTTTGTGCTTAATATGAAAATGTATTTTTTAGAAACATGCATGATCGGTAATGTGTATTCGTTTATTTGGATTTGCTTTTGTAGTCTTCCTCAGCGAAAAGACGACGTCTTCTTGGAGAACAGGATAAAATCAGCGCAATGGCATTGTGTAAGTCCTTTTTGTCATGAGACAATATATTCACGCTCTTCCATCGTTTCCCACTCTCCCGTATACAGTCTGTTCCTATTTCTTTTAGGATTTTGCATCAATAATCGTAAACCTTTATTTAAATAGCTTTCCTGAGACTATTGCTTCAGGTAAACATGATTGTATATGGAAATATGGCTGACCGGCTGGATTAGGCGTTGGACTCCTAGTCAATAGGTGCGGGGTTTGAATTTCGCTTCACCTATTTCAGCCGTGGCAACAGACTAGTCTCAATAGCGCTCACAGAACAAGTTTGACTCATAGCCTCCGGCATCGGATAACCAAATTTTAATCAACTAATAAACATGCATGCTTTCCTCATAACTTTTACTATCGTTCATTTTGAGATTTTTGTTTCCAGTGGTATAAAAATAAATTCATAGTTGCCAACAGCTTATGAAGTTTATCGATTGTCAGTCTAGATCTTAATGAGGTATTTAAGTTACCTAGATGATATTCTGCCAATGATTACAATAAATCGCTGATAGCCTTATTAATAGTGTTACTGAGAATTGATCCTATGCGTTTGGATGTACACTCGCTTTCAACCTATTATATCTTCCAGAATTGCTATTATTATTACTTCTAAAATGAAACTGGTGATCCATCGGTTTCTAAAATGTTAACTATGCATCTTGACTTTTACTAGATCAGATGAACTAGTTGACGTCTGATGAGAATGTAATAAATACAAAAGTCACTTATTCTATGGAACACAGAAAAAAAAGAGAAAAACAAGCATTGTAGTGCTACCTATTATTCGAATAATAAGATATACTGTGCTTAGCCAATTAGCGCTGGTCTAACTTGAGGTATATTTATGCTAATGCATTTTCTCTTGCTGTACTCTACTACTGGTCACGACTTACCACTAGAACCTCAGGCAACTACATACCTAAATAGGACAAGTTTCTAGTGAGCACCTCATCGATATTCAAGTATTGGTTTTCAGGGATTCGATTGACTGGTTACAGGATTTCATCATGAGCTGATATCGGTTGCAGAACATTCGAGAAACCTGCAGGGAGTACTGGACAGCTGTTTCATCCCAGTTTGGACTCTTCAGGTGTACGCGCTCATCAGGATTCGGACTCAGGACCTTAATGATCTACGGACTCGCCTTGTAACCCGGAGGTCCTGGGTTCGAACCCCGATGGGAGCGTACACCTGAAGAGTCCAAACTAGGATGAAACAGCTGTCCAGTACTCCCTGCAGGTTTCTCGAATGTTCTGCAACCGATATCAGCTCATGATGAAATCCTGTAACCAGTCAATCGAATCCCTGAAAACCAATACTTGAATATCGATGAGGTGCTCACTAGCAACTTGTCCTATTTAGGTAGGTAGTTGCCTGAGGTTCTAGTGGGAAGTCCTGACCAGTAGAGTATAGCAGGTCGGATGTGAAGACAAATACTCGCCGAAGGCATTTTCTCTCACCAGTTACTGTTTTTATATGTGTGTTGTATTTATATTATATTACTACTATTGGTCATTCGTTCGTGTATTTTATTTTTTTTGTTAGTGAACGAGTTAGATGAAGAGAAAAGAACCAAAGATAGGGTTAGTTGTTCATTGCTATTCTTTTAACATTTTGTGATAGCCTAACATATAATCATTTTTGTTAAATAGTTGCTGGCATTAGGCAAGAACTGTGCAGCATTACAGGTTACTGGCTTGTTGACACTCATCAACAAGGTGTGTTAGTAACCTTTTAGAAACTGATATCCCCCCCCCCCAATGGAATCACAGGTATTACCGTTGGTCTGTTTGAATTAAAGATTGACGTCTGGTAAGACTGTAATTGAGTCACTAATGTCATGTATTTTTCTAGTCCATCGTGTTGGTACTGACTGGATGTTAATGAGTCCACTTTGCTATGTGATCACCAAACTAGGTGGCTCACTAAACAGGTGACACTGACTACCTCTCATTGGCAAATCAATGTTTCTATTATAAGTCCCTACAAGAGGTCTGTCGTAAACGTGAATAGCTCAGTGATAACGTCTCTGATTGCAGAACTCTTCCACCATTTCATTCATCAAAAAGTCAAAAGTTGAAATACTTAACTAGTTTATAGCCTTTACAGACGTTTTGATGATAAACCCCATTGCTATTAAAATATCAGGATCATAGTTATCTATATAGTTACATTTATCTTATTGAACAGAATGAACTTTTATTTTTTAACAAATATTTGAATACTGTTTTTTATTTTTTATTTCACTATTCTTTTTTTTTCAGTCCAGTCAACGAACTTCTTCACTTGGACATAAAGAACATATCAATCGAAATCATGATAGCATCCCATTAATTAGACCACTAAGTATAACTATTACAGATAGCCTTTTGGATTCCTATGACGATAGCCATATGGATTGTATTGAATCAGTGCTAAGAAATCAAACTGATAGTAAGTTAATTGTTAAACCTAAGTGACTGTCCGACTGACTCTTGTACTTTTGAAAGTGCATGGGCAGTTGTTCCATCCTGGTTATCCAAATCGTAGAAGTTGATATTTTCTTGGCACACTTGAAATATAAAGAGAATCAGTGTTACATGACCGGTCAGTGTAGAGGACAACTGCTTGAAGTTGGTCACACACACAGTCTGTTTCAATTGGTGGTTTATTAGAGTTGTATCCGTATCCGGGACTTAACCTCGTAGGGTCAGTCAAAATGTATAATTTTCCGAACTCCCCCTCTCCAGAATGTAAAGGGACTGCATATCTAGTATGCTGGTTGTCTGAGAGAAATGCCTACCACTGCTGTTATATCCCTGTTCGCCCACAGACCTCCAGAATAGAGTAAGCATCTTACAATATGCTAGTAACCACTTAAAGTCTATTCGCCATCCTGATAACCTACCTATTAACATTGTAGTACCTCGAAGAACATTAGTTACATTCAGTGAAACCCGTCAGGACACTACGGTATACAAGCCTGACTGCTACGTCAACATAGCGGCTATCAGTCGGGTGGTAATTCTTACTGGTAAACAATAATTCGTATAATTTTAAAAGAAAACTAGACCTGAATATCCTGCTTTGTGTATTTTCTCTTCCAATAACGATGAGACTACTGCTTATGTGGATATTTCACTCTCAAAGATATACAAAAATAAGTCGGAATAATTTATTACACAAACCACGAATGTGCGATGTGTATGCTCGTATCAGAGAGACAGACAGACAGAAGGAAAGCGAAACACAGCAGCCGACCACATACCCTAAAGTACACCACAAAACTATAGTGCGATTTATACACATCTCTGTGTCTGACTCATACACTTCCTACATAAATAAAACACATTAACATATTCAACAGCGGCAACTCACATTTATGCGTTTACAATTTATATCAAACCTTCGGAAACACAAAGATCACTTAACATTCCACAGACCATAATACGTTCCCACACCTCCAGTAAAATTATTACGAAAATGACTCTCAAACCTATCCGCAGCTTCATTACATCAACTCCTCATTCTTCCCTATTAGCAGAAGACTGGAAACATCAAGAAGCGAAGCAGTGTGTAGATGCTGACGGCGAGTCCCGACGGCCTTCAGCGTCGAGGAAGGTGACGCTGTCTCCAATCCCACATTGTTTTGATGTCGACGATGGTGTGGAAGTGGAAGGTGGAATAGCGGGTGAGTTGTTGTGTTGGTTTCTTTTTTTATGTGTTTGTGTGTGTGTGTGTGAGTGTGCATGCTGATTGGTGTTTTGGGATGTGAAAGTATTTGTGTCTTGTTTGTATAGAATGGAGAATCGATGTGTGGTCGATATGTTGTGCGTTTCTCGTGAAGGCACAGATGGATTGACTGTTGACGATGTTGGATTTCGGTGTTTCTTGTTGGATGGATTTTCGTTGATTGTAGTTGTGTTTGCGTGTTATCTCTCGTGTACATCGATTGCTACTCTCGCTGGCTTACACCATCTCTGGCGTAGGCGTTCGTTACATCCGGCTATCAACCAAGGGACGTGTGTACTGCTCATCAGTTCGCTCCGTCCTTCTCTATGGCTGTGAAACATGACCAATACGAGTTGAAGACATGAAAAGGTTGACTGCTTTCGATCATAGATGTCTGCGATCTCTTTCTCACGTTAGGTGGTTTAATAAGGTGAGTAATGTTGACGTTAGGTGTAGAGTGTTGGGCAGAGAGGGAGAATCAATCGAGGAGGCTATAAAGTTGCATAGATTGAGATGGGTAGGTCACGTGCTGCGCATGCCTAACCATCGCCTCCCCCGACGGGCATTACAAGCTGATATAGGTGCAGGTTGGAAAAGAGTAAGTGGTTTCCAAACAAAAACATGGCATCAATCCGTGAAATCCTTGACAGTTAAACTGAGTCAGGTAGGGAGATGGAGACTTCCGGGTTGGGGCTGTCGGGACTCTCGGAATCAATGACTGGAGACAATAGGTGAGATGGCTGAAAATCGTTGTCAATGGCGAAGATGTATTCAGTCTCTGTAATCTTTCATATTCCTTTCTACCATTACCCATTCTGTTTCGCTCTTATACTTGTCGAACTCTATTGATTCTCTTCACTCATCTTCTTGTCTACCTTTGTGTGGTATTTGGAACGTGTCAACTCGAACTGCTGCACTTCGGTGCCAAGCTCTATGTGTGATCCAGATAGACAGACAGACAGTACATTGATTGATGTGTGGTGTATGGAGTGTGAGAATTTGAATTGGGTGTAGTTTTGTGGAGATTTGTACGTTGAGATGTGAATGTGATTATCGGGTTGTGTGCTTGGCTTGGTGTTGGTGTTTTTCCTTGTTTGGTGATGTGAAAGTGTGTGTGTGTGTGTGTGTTTATGTTGGCTGGCGGTGTAATGTGTTTCTTTGGTTTGTGTTTTTGTGAAGGAAGGTGTTCTGAATGTGTTATATGGTGAACCAATTAGTATATGATTAGTTTAGCCTTGAGGTTGTGACTGTGTTGTGTGTTTTTCTATGTTTGGGTGTTGGTTGATGGATGGTGATTGGTTGTTGATTTGTGGTCATTGTGTAGTTGTTTGTGATTTGTGAGTCGGTGCATTGTGTTGTGTTGTGTTGTGTTGTGTAGTGTTGGTTTTCTAATGGTGAGTGTGTCGTTTTATTTTTGTTTTGTGCAGAGCTTGGATTTGAAGAGGCGAAGGAGTGTGTAGCTGCTGACGGCGAGTCCCGACGGCCTTCAGCGTCGAGGAAGGTGACGCTGTCTCCAATCCCACATTGTTTTGATGTCGACGATGGTGTGGAAGTGGAAGGTGGAATAGCGGGTGAGTTGTTGTGTTGGTTTCTTTTTTTATGTGTTTGTGTGTGTGTGTGTGTGAGTGTGCATGCTGATTGGTGTTTTGGGATGTGAAAGTATTTGTGTCTTGTTTGTATAGAATGGAGAATCGATGTGTGGTCGATATGTTGTGCGTTTCTCGTGAAGGCACAGATGGATTGACTGTTGACGATGTTGGATTTCGGTGTTTCTTGTTGGATGGATTTTCGTTGATTGTAGTTGTGTTTGCGTGTTATCTCTCGTGTACATCGATTGCTACTCTCGCTGGCTTACACCATCTCTGGCGTAGGCGTTCGTTACATCCGGCTATCAACCAAGGGACGTGTGTACTGCTCATCAGTTCGCTCCGTCCTTCTCTATGGCTGTGAAACATGACCAATACGAGTTGAAGACATGAAAAGGTTGACTGCTTTCGATCATAGATGTCTGCGATCTCTTTCTCACGTTAGGTGGTTTAATAAGGTGAGTAATGTTGACGTTAGGTGTAGAGTGTTGGGCAGAGAGGGAGAATCAATCGAGGAGGCTATAAAGTTGCATAGATTGAGATGGGTAGGTCACGTGCTGCGCATGCCTAACCATCGCCTCCCCCGACGGGCATTACAAGCTGATATAGGTGCAGGTTGGAAAAGAGTAAGTGGTTTCCAAACAAAAACATGGCATCAATCCGTGAAATCCTTGACAGTTAAACTGAGTCAGGTAGGGAGATGGAGACTTCCGGGTTGGGGCTGTCGGGACTCTCGGAATCAATGACTGGAGACAATAGGTGAGATGGCTGAAAATCGTTGTCAATGGCGAAGATGTATTCAGTCTCTGTAATCTTTCATATTCCTTTCTACCATTACCCATTCTGTTTCGCTCTTATACTTGTCGAACTCTATTGATTCTCTTCACTCATCTTCTTGTCTACCTTTGTGTGGTATTTGGAACGTGTCAACTCGAACTGCTGCACTTCGGTGCCAAGCTCTATGTGTGATCCAGATAGACAGACAGACAGTACATTGATTGATGTGTGGTGTATGGAGTGTGAGAATTTGAATTGGGTGTAGTTTTGTGGAGATTTGTACGATGAGATGTGAATGTGATTATCGGGTTGTGTGCTTGGCTTGGTGTTGGTGTTGTTCCTTGTTTGGTGATGTGAAAGTGTGTGTGTGTGTGTGTTTTATGTTGGCTGGCGGTGTAATGTGTTTCTTTGGTTTGTGTTTTTGTGAAGGAAGGTGTTCTGAATGTGTTATATGGTGAACCGATTAGTATATGATTAGTTTAGCCTTGAGGTTGTGACTGTGTTGTGTGTTTTTCTATGTTTGGGTGTTGGTTGATGGATGGTGATTGGTTGTTGATTTGTGGTCATTGTGTAGTTGTTTGTGATTTGTGAGTCGGTGCATTGTGTTGTGTTGTGTTGTGTTGTGTAGTGTTGGTTTTCTAATGGTGAGTGTGTCGTTTTATTTTTGTTTTGTGCAGAGCTTGGATTTGAAGAGGCGAAGGAGTGTGTAGCTGCTGACGGCGAGTCCCGACGGCCTTCAGCGTCGAGGAAGGTGACGCTGTCTCCAATCCCACATTGTTTTGATGTCGACGATGGTGTGGAAGTGGAAGGTGGAATAGCGGGTGAGTTGTTGTGTTGGTTTCTTTTTTTATGTGTTTGTGTGTGTGTGTGTGAGTGTGCATGCTGATTGGTGTTTTGGGATGTGAAAGTATTTGTGTCTTGTTTGTATAGAATGGAGAATCGATGTGTGGTCGATATGTTGTGCGTTTCTCGTGAAGGCACAGATGGATTGACTGTTGACGATGTTGGATTTCGGTGTTTCTTGTTGGATGGATTTTCGTTGATTGTAGTTGTGTTTGCGTGTTATCTCTCGTGTACATTGATTGCTGCTTTCGCTGGCTTACACCATCTCTGGCGTAGGCGTTGGTTACATCCGGCTGACGAAATCTCAGCACGAATACAGGGGGCTCGTTTCGCATTTGTTAGTTTACGCCGACTCTGGCGTAGACGAGATGTTCGACTATCGACCAAAGGGCGGGTGTACTGCTCATCAGTCCTCTCCGTCCTCCTTTATGGTTGTGAGACCTGGCCACTGAGAGTGGAAGACATGAAAAGACTAGCTGTCTTTGATCATAGGTGCCTGCGCTCTATTTCCCGTGTAAAGTGGCATAATAAGGTGAGCAACATTGAGGTTAGGCGTCGAGTTCTAGGTAAACAGGGGAAATCAATCGACGAAGTTGTGAAGCTACAAAGACTGAGATGGTTAGGACATGTGTTACGTATGCCAAGCCATCGCCTCCCTCGACGAGCAATGTTAGCGGATATAGGGTCAGGCTGGAAAAAAGCTAGCGGCGGTCAAACAAAAACTTGGCACCAGTCAATGAAATCCACAACAGTTGGTATAAGCCACGTAGGAAGGTATAGACTTCCAGGCTGGGGTCCTCGGGACGGTAAAAATCTATGGTTGGAAACAATTGGTGACATGGCTCAAAATCGTTCTCAGTGACAGCGCAGATGCATCCACTCCTTGTGACTTATGATCTCCAATGAAACTGTTTCGTTTTTCTTTATTACTCCTTTGTCTCACATCTCTGCTCACTGTCTCTATTATGCTTTTCCTGTACTTTCTTCTCTTGCTTCGCGTGCTACACGGAGTGTGGCGACTTGAACTTCCGCACATTTGTGCAAAGTTCTATGTCGAAAACAGACAGACAGACGGACAGACATCCGGCTATCAACCAAGGGACGTATGTACTGCTCATCAGTTCGCTCCGTCCTTCTCTATGGCTGTGAAACATGGCCAATACGAGTTGAAGACATGAAAAGGTTGACTGCTTTCGATCATAGATGTCTGCGATCTCTTTCTCACGTTAGGTGGTTTAATAAGGTGAGTAATGTTGACGTTAGGTGTAGAGTGTTGGGCAGAGAGGGAGAATCAATCGAGGAGGCTATAAAGTTGCATAGATTGAGATGGGTAGGTCACGTGCTGCGCATGCCTAACCATCGCCTCCCCCGACGGGCATTACAAGCTGATATAGGTGCAGGTTGGAAAAGAGTAAGTGGTTTCCAAACAAAAACATGGCATCAATCCGTGAAATCCTTGACAGTTAAACTGAGTCAGGTAGGGAGATGGAGACTTCCGGGTTGGGGCTGTCGGGACTCTCGGAATCAATGACTGGAGACAATAGGTGAGATGGCTGAAAATCGTTGTCAATGGCGAAGATGTATTCAGTCTCTGTAATCTTTCATATTCCTTTCTACCATTACCCATTCTGTTTCGCTCTTATACTTGTCGAACTCTATTGATTCTCTTCACTCATCTTCTTGTCTACCTTTGTGTGGTATTTGGAACGTGTCAACTCGAACTGCTGCACTTCGGTGCCAAGCTCTATGTTGGATCCAGATAGACAGACAGACAGTACATTGATTGATGTGTGGTGTATGGAGTGTGAGAATTTGAATTGGGTGTAGTTTTGTGGAGATTTGTACGTTGAGATGTGAATGTGATTATCGGGTTGTGTGCTTGGCTTGGTGTTGGTGTTTTTCCTTGTTTGGTGATGTGAAAGTGTGTGTGTGTGTGTGTTTATGTTGGCTGGCGGTGTAATGTGTTTCTTTGGTTTGTGTTTTTGTGAAGGAAGGTGTTCTGAATGTGTTATATGGTGAACCGATTAGTATATGATTAGTTTAGCCTTGAGGTTGTGACTGTGTTGTGTGTTTTTCTATGTTTGGGTGTTGGTTGATGGATGGTGATTGGTTGTTGATTTGTGGTCATTGTGTAGTTGTTTGTGATTTGTGAGTCGGTGCATTGTGTTGTGTTGTGTTGTGTTGTGTAGTGTTGGTTTTCTAATGGTGAGTGTGTCGTTTTATTTTTGCTTTGTGCAGAGCTTGGATTTGAAGAGGCGAAGGAGTGTGTAGCTGCTGACGGCGAGTCCCGACGGCCTTCAGCGTCGAGGAAGGTGACGCTGTCTCCAATCCCACATTGTTTTGATGTCGACGATGGTGTGGAAGTGGAAGGTGGAATAGCGGGTGAGTTGTTGTGTTGGTTTCTTTTTTTATGTGTTTGTGTGTGTGTGTGTGTGTGCATGCTGATTGGTGTTTTGGGATGTGAAAGTATTTGTGTCTTGTTTGTATAGAATGGAGAATCGATGTGTGGTCGATATGTTGTGCGTTTCTCGTGAAGGCACAGATGGATTGACTGTTGACGATGTTGGATTTCGGTGTTTCTTGTTGGATGGATTTTCGTTGATTGTAGTTGTGTTTGCGTGTTATCTCTCGTGTACATTGATTGCTGCTTTCGCTGGCTTACACCATCTCTGGCGTAGGCGTTGGTTACATCCGGCTGACGAAATCTCAGCACGAATACAGGGGGCTCGTTTCGCATTTGTTAGTTTACGCCGACTCTGGCGTAGACGAGATGTTCGACTATCGACCAAAGGGCGGGTGTACTGCTCATCAGTCCGCTCCGTCCTCCTTTATGGTTGTGAGACCTGGCCACTGAGAGTGGAAGACATGAAAAGACTAGCTGTCTTTGATCATAGGTGCCTGCGCTCTATTTCCCGTGTAAAGTGGCATAATAAGGTGAGCAACATTGAGGTTAGGCGTCGAGTTCTAGGTAAACAGGGGAAATCAATCGACGAAGTTGTGAAGCTACAAAGACTGAGATGGTTAGGACATGTGTTACGTATGCCAAGCCATCGCCTCCCTCGACGAGCAATGTTAGCGGATATAGGGTCAGGCTGGAAAAAAGCTAGCGGCGGTCAAACAAAAACTTGGCACCAGTCAATGAAATCCACAACAGTTGGTATAAGCCACGTAGGAAGGTATAGACTTCCAGGCTGGGGTCCTCGGGACGGTAAAAATCTATGGTTGGAAACAATTGGTGACATGGCTCAAAATCGTTCTCAGTGACAGCGCAGATGCATCCACTCCTTGTGACTTATGATCTCCAATGAAACTGTTTCGTTTTTCTTTATTACTCCTTTGTCTCACATCTCTGCTCACTGTCTCTATTATGCTTTTCCTGTACTTTCTTCTCTTGCTTCGCGTGCTACACGGAGTGTGGCGACTTGAACTTCCGCACATTTGTGCAAAGTTCTATGTCGAAAACAGACAGACAGACGGACAGACATCCGGCTATCAACCAAGGGACGTGTGTACTGCTCATCAGTTCGCTCCGTCCTTCTCTATGGCTGTGAAACATGGCCAATACGAGTTGAAGACATGAAAAGGTTGACTGCTTTCGATCATAGATGTCTGCGATCTCTTTCTCACGTTAGGTGGTTTAATAAGGTGAGTAATGTTGACGTTAGGTGTAGAGTGTTGGGCAGAGAGGGAGAATCAATCGAGGAGGCTATAAAGTTGCATAGATTGAGATGGGTAGGTCACGTGCTGCGCATGCCTAACCATCGCCTCCCCCGACGGGCATTACAAGCTGATATAGGTGCAGGTTGGAAAAGAGTAAGTGGTTTCCAAACAAAAACATGGCATCAATCCGTGAAATCCTTGACAGTTAAACTGAGTCAGGTAGGGAGATGGAGACTTCCGGGTTGGGGCTGTCGGGACTCTCGGAATCAATGACTGGAGACAATAGGTGAGATGGCTGAAAATCGTTGTCAATGGCGAAGATGTATTCAGTCTCTGTAATCTTTCATATTCCTTTCTACCATTACCCATTCTGTTTCGCTCTTATACTTGTCGAACTCTATTGATTCTCTTCACTCATCTTCTTGTCTACCTTTGTGTGGTATTTGGAACGTGTCAACTCGAACTGCTGCACTTCGGTGCCAAGCTCTATGTTGGATCCAGATAGACAGACAGACAGTACATTGATTGATGTGTGGTGTATGGAGTGTGAGAATTTGAATTGGGTGTAGTTTTGTGGAGATTTGTACGTTGAGATGTGAATGTGATTATCGGGTTGTGTGCTTGGCTTGGTGTTGGTGTTTTTCCTTGTTTGGTGATGTGAAAGTGTGTGTGTGTGTGTGTTTATGTTGGCTGGCGGTGTAATGTGTTTCTTTGGTTTGTGTTTTTGTGAAGGAAGGTGTTCTGAATGTGTTATATGGTGAACCGATTAGTATATGATTAGTTTAGCCTTGAGGTTGTGACTGTGTTGTGTGTTTTTCTATGTTTGGGTGTTGGTTGATGGATGGTGATTGGTTGTTGATTTGTGGTCATTGTGTAGTTGTTTGTGATTTGTGAGTCGGTGCATTGTGTTGTGTTGTGTTGTGTTGTGTAGTGTTGGTTTTCTAATGGTGAGTGTGTCGTTTTATTTTTGCTTTGTGCAGAGCTTGGATTTGAAGAGGCGAAGGAGTGTGTAGCTGCTGACGGCGAGTCCCGACGGCCTTCAGCGTCGAGGAAGGTGACGCTGTCTCCAATCCCACATTGTTTTGATGTCGACGATGGTGTGGAAGTGGAAGGTGGAATAGCGGGTGAGTTGTTGTGTTGGTTTCTTTTTTTATGTGTTTGTGTGTGTGTGTGTGAGTGTGCATGCTGATTGGTGTTTTGGGATGTGAAAGTATTTGTGTCTTGTTTGTATAGAATGGAGAATCGATGTGTGGTCGATATGTTGTGCGTTTCTCGTGAAGGCACAGATGGATTGACTGTTGACGATGTTGGATTTCGGTGTTTCTTGTTGGATGGATTTTCGTTGATTGTAGTTGTGTTTGCGTGTTATCTCTCGTGTACATTGATTGCTGCTTTCGCTGGCTTACACCATCTCTGGCGTAGGCGTTGGTTACATCCGGCTGACGAAATCTCAGCACGAATACAGGGGGCTCGTTTCGCATTTGTTAGTTTACGCCGACTCTGGCGTAGACGAGATGTTCGACTATCGACCAAAGGGCGGGTGTACTGCTCATCAGTCCGCTCCGTCCTCCTTTATGGTTGTGAGACCTGGCCACTGAGAGTGGAAGACATGAAAAGACTAGCTGTCTTTGATCATAGGTGCCTGCGCTCTATTTCCCGTGTAAAGTGGCATAATAAGGTGAGCAACATTGAGGTTAGGCGTCGAGTTCTAGGTAAACAGGGGAAATCAATCGACGAAGTTGTGAAGCTACAAAGACTGAGATGGTTAGGACATGTGTTACGTATGCCAAGCCATCGCCTCCCTCGACGAGCAATGTTAGCGGATATAGGGTCAGGCTGGAAAAAAGCTAGCGGCGGTCAAACAAAAACTTGGCACCAGTCAATGAAATCCACAACAGTTGGTATAAGCCACGTAGGAAGGTATAGACTTCCAGGCTGGGGTCCTCGGGACGGTAAAAATCTATGGTTGGAAACAATTGGTGACATGGCTCAAAATCGTTCTCAGTGACAGCGCAGATGCATCCACTCCTTGTGACTTATGATCTCCAATGAAACTGTTTCGTTTTTCTTTATTACTCCTTTGTCTCACATCTCTGCTCACTGTCTCTATTATGCTTTTCCTGTACTTTCTTCTCTTGCTTCGCGTGCTACACGGAGTGTGGCGACTTGAACTTCCGCACATTTGTGCAAAGTTCTATGTCGAAAACAGACAGACAGACGGACAGACATCCGGCTATCAACCAAGGGACGTATGTACTGCTCATCAGTTCGCTCCGTCCTTCTCTATGGCTGTGAAACATGGCCAATACGAGTTGAAGACATGAAAAGGTTGACTGCTTTCGATCATAGATGTCTGCGATCTCTTTCTCACGTTAGGTGGTTTAATAAGGTGAGTAATGTTGACGTTAGGTGTAGAGTGTTGGGCAGAGAGGGAGAATCAATCGAGGAGGCTATAAAGTTGCATAGATTGAGATGGGTAGGTCACGTGCTGCGCATGCCTAACCATCGCCTCCCCCGACGGGCATTACAAGCTGATATAGGTGCAGGTTGGAAAAGAGTAAGTGGTTTCCAAACAAAAACATGGCATCAATCCGTGAAATCCTTGACAGTTAAACTGAGTCAGGTAGGGAGATGGAGACTTCCGGGTTGGGGCTGTCGGGACTCTCGGAATCAATGACTGGAGACAATAGGTGAGATGGCTGAAAATCGTTGTCAATGGCGAAGATGTATTCAGTCTCTGTAATCTTTCATATTCCTTTCTACCATTACCCATTCTGTTTCGCTCTTATACTTGTCGAACTCTATTGATTCTCTTCACTCATCTTCTTGTCTACCTTTGTGTGGTATTTGGAACGTGTCAACTCGAACTGCTGCACTTCGGTGCCAAGCTCTATGTTGGATCCAGATAGACAGACAGACAGTACATTGATTGATGTGTGGTGTATGGAGTGTGAGAATTTGAATTGGGTGTAGTTTTGTGGAGATTTGTACGTTGAGATGTGAATGTGATTATCGGGTTGTGTGCTTGGCTTGGTGTTGGTGTTTTTCCTTGTTTGGTGATGTGAAAGTGTGTGTGTGTGTGTGTTTATGTTGGCTGGCGGTGTAATGTGTTTCTTTGGTTTGTGTTTTTGTGAAGGAAGGTGTTCTGAATGTGTTATATGGTGAACCGATTAGTATATGATTAGTTTAGCCTTGAGGTTGTGACTGTGTTGTGTGTTTTTCTATGTTTGGGTGTTGGTTGATGGATGGTGATTGGTTGTTGATTTGTGGTCATTGTGTAGTTGTTTGTGATTTGTGAGTCGGTGCATTGTGTTGTGTTGTGTTGTGTTGTGTAGTGTTGGTTTTCTAATGGTGAGTGTGTCGTTTTATTTTTGCTTTGTGCAGAGCTTGGATTTGAAGAGGCGAAGGAGTGTGTAGCTGCTGACGGCGAGTCCCGACGGCCTTCAGCGTCGAGGAAGGTGACGCTGTCTCCAATCCCACATTGTTTTGATGTCGACGATGGTGTGGAAGTGGAAGGTGGAATAGCGGGTGAGTTGTTGTGTTGGTTTCTTTTTTTATGTGTTTGTGTGTGTGTGTGAGTGTGCATGCTGATTGGTGTTTTGGGATGTGAAAGTATTTGTGTCTTGTTTGTATAGAATGGAGAATCGATGTGTGGTCGATATGTTGTGCGTTTCTCGTGAAGGCACAGATGGATTGACTGTTGACGATGTTGGATTTCGGTGTTTCTTGTTGGATGGATTTTCGTTGATTGTAGTTGTGTTTGCGTGTTATCTCTCGTGTACATTGATTGCTGCTTTCGCTGGCTTACACCATCTCTGGCGTAGGCGTTGGTTACATCCGGCTGACGAAATCTCAGCACGAATACAGGGGGCTCGTTTCGCATTTGTTAGTTTACGCCGACTCTGGCGTAGACGAGATGTTCGACTATCGACCAAAGGGCGGGTGTACTGCTCATCAGTCCGCTCCGTCCTCCTTTATGGTTGTGAGACCTGGCCACTGAGAGTGGAAGACATGAAAAGACTAGCTGTCTTTGATCATAGGTGCCTGCGCTCTATTTCCCGTGTAAAGTGGCATAATAAGGTGAGCAACATTGAGGTTAGGCGTCGAGTTCTAGGTAAACAGGGGAAATCAATCGACGAAGTTGTGAAGCTACAAAGACTGAGATGGTTAGGACATGTGTTACGTATGCCAAGCCATCGCCTCCCTCGACGAGCAATGTTAGCGGATATAGGGTCAGGCTGGAAAAAAGCTAGCGGCGGTCAAACAAAAACTTGGCACCAGTCAATGAAATCCACAACAGTTGGTATAAGCCACGTAGGAAGGTATAGACTTCCAGGCTGGGGTCCTCGGGACGGTAAAAATCTATGGTTGGAAACAATTGGTGACATGGCTCAAAATCGTTCTCAGTGACAGCGCAGATGCATCCACTCCTTGTGACTTATGATCTCCAATGAAACTGTTTCGTTTTTCTTTATTACTCCTTTGTCTCACATCTCTGCTCACTGTCTCTATTATGCTTTTCCTGTACTTTCTTCTCTTGCTTCGCGTGCTACACGGAGTGTGGCGACTTGAACTTCCGCACATTTGTGCAAAGTTCTATGTCGAAAACAGACAGACAGACGGACAGACATCCGGCTATCAACCAAGGGACGTGTGTACTGCTCATCAGTTCGCTCCGTCCTTCTCTATGGCTGTGAAACATGGCCAATACGAGTTGAAGACATGAAAAGGTTGACTGCTTTCGATCATAGATGTCTGCGATCTCTTTCTCACGTTAGGTGGTTTAATAAGGTGAGTAATGTTGACGTTAGGTGTAGAGTGTTGGGCAGAGAGGGAGAATCAATCGAGGAGGCTATAAAGTTGCATAGATTGAGATGGGTAGGTCACGTGCTGCGCATGCCTAACCATCGCCTCCCCCGACGGGCATTACAAGCTGATATAGGTGCAGGTTGGAAAAGAGTAAGTGGTTTCCAAACAAAAACATGGCATCAATCCGTGAAATCCTTGACAGTTAAACTGAGTCAGGTAGGGAGATGGAGACTTCCGGGTTGGGGCTGTCGGGACTCTCGGAATCAATGACTGGAGACAATAGGTGAGATGGCTGAAAATCGTTGTCAATGGCGAAGATGTATTCAGTCTCTGTAATCTTTCATATTCCTTTCTACCATTACCCATTCTGTTTCGCTCTTATACTTGTCGAACTCTATTGATTCTCTTCACTCATCTTCTTGTCTACCTTTGTGTGGTATTTGGAACGTGTCAACTCGAACTGCTGCACTTCGGTGCCAAGCTCTATGTTGGATCCAGATAGACAGACAGACAGTACATTGATTGATGTGTGGTGTATGGAGTGTGAGAATTTGAATTGGGTGTAGTTTTGTGGAGATTTGTACGTTGAGATGTGAATGTGATTATCGGGTTGTGTGCTTGGCTTGGTGTTGGTGTTTTTCCTTGTTTGGTGATGTGAAAGTGTGTGTGTGTGTGTGTTTATGTTGGCTGGCGGTGTAATGTGTTTCTTTGGTTTGTGTTTTTGTGAAGGAAGGTGTTCTGAATGTGTTATATGGTGAACCGATTAGTATATGATTAGTTTAGCCTTGAGGTTGTGACTGTGTTGTGTGTTTTTCTATGTTTGGGTGTTGGTTGATGGATGGTGATTGGTTGTTGATTTGTGGTCATTGTGTAGTTGTTTGTGATTTGTGAGTCGGTGCATTGTGTTGTGTTGTGTTGTGTTGTGTAGTGTTGGTTTTCTAATGGTGAGTGTGTCGTTTTATTTTTGCTTTGTGCAGAGCTTGGATTTGAAGAGGCGAAGGAGTGTGTAGCTGCTGACGGCGAGTCCCGACGGCCTTCAGCGTCGAGGAAGGTGACGCTGTCTCCAATCCCACATTGTTTTGATGTCGACGATGGTGTGGAAGTGGAAGGTGGAATAGCGGGTGAGTTGTTGTGTTGGTTTCTTTTTTTATGTGTTTGTGTGTGTGTGTGTGAGTGTGCATGCTGATTGGTGTTTTGGGATGTGAAAGTATTTGTGTCTTGTTTGTATAGAATGGAGAATCGATGTGTGGTCGATATGTTGTGCGTTTCTCGTGAAGGCACAGATGGATTGACTGTTGACGATGTTGGATTTCGGTGTTTCTTGTTGGATGGATTTTCGTTGATTGTAGTTATGTTTGCGTGTTATCTCTCGTGTACATTGATTGCTGCTTTCGCTGGCTTACACCATCTCTGGTGTAGGCGTTGGTTACATCCGGCTGACGAAATCTCAGCACGAATACAGGGGGCTCGTTTCGCATTTGTTAGTTTACGCCGACTCTGGCGTAGACGAGATGTTCGACTATCGACCAAAGGGCGGGTGTACTGCTCATCAGTCCGCTCCGTCCTCCTTTATGGTTGTGAGACCTGGCCACTGAGAGTGGAAGACATGAAAAGACTAGCTGTCTTTGATCATAGGTGCCTGCGCTCTATTTCCCGTGTAAAGTGGCATAATAAGGTGAGCAACATTGAGGTTAGGCGTCGAGTTCTAGGTAAACAGGGGAAATCAATCGACGAAGTTGTGAAGCTACAAAGACTGAGATGGTTAGGACATGTGTTACGTATGCCAAGCCATCGCCTCCCTCGACGAGCAATGTTAGCGGATATAGAGTCAGGCTGGAAAAAAGCTAGCGGCGGTCAAACAAAAACTTGGCACCAGTCAATGAAATCCACAACAGTTGGTATAAGCCACGTAGGAAGGTATAGACTTCCAGGCTGGGGTCCTCGGGACGGTAAAAATCTATGGTTGGAAACAATTGGTGACATGGCTCAAAATCGTTCTCAGTGACAGCGCAGATGCATCCACTCCTTGTGACTTATGATCTCCAATGAAAATGTTTCGTTTTTCTTTATTACTCCTTTGTCTCACATCTCTGCTCACTGTCTCTATTATGCTTTTCCTGTACTTTCTTCTCTTGCTTCGCGTGCTACACGGAGTGTGGCGACTTGAACTTCCGCACATTTGTGCAAAGTTCTATGTCGAAAACAGACAGACAGACGGACAGACATCTGGCTATCAACCAAGGGACGTGTGTACTGCTCATCAGTTCGCTCCGTCCTTCTCTATGGCTGTGAAACATGGCCAATACGAGTTGAAGACATGAAAAGGTTGACTGCTTTCGATCATAGATGTCTGCGATCTCTTTCTCACGTTAGGTGGTTTAATAAGGTGAGTAATGTTGACGTTAGGTGTAGAGTGTTGGGCAGAGAGAGAGAATCAATCGAGGAGGCTATAAAGTTGCATAGATTGAGATGGGTAGGTCACGTGCTGCGCATGCCTAACCATCACCTCCCCCGACGGGCATTACAAGCTGATATAGGTGCAGGTTGGAAAAGAGTAAGTGGTTTCCAAACAAAAACATGGCATCAATCCGTGAAATCCTTGACAGTTGAACTGAGTCAGGTAGGGAGATGGAGACTTCCGGGTTGGGGCTGTCGGGACTCTCGGAATCAATGACTGGAGACAATAGGTGAGATGGCTGAAAATCGTTGTCAATGGCGAAGATATATTCAGTCTCTGTAATCTTTCATATTCCTTTCTACCATTACCCATTCTGTTTCGCTTTTATACTTGTCGAACTCTATTGATTCTCTTCACTCATCTTCTTGTCTACCTTTGTGTGGTATTTGGAACGTGTCAACTCGAACTGCTGCACTTCGGTGCCAAGCTCTATGTTGGATCCAGATAGACAGACAGACAGTACATTGATTGATGTGTGGTGTGTGGAGTGTGAGAATTTGAATTGGGTGTAGTTTTGTGGAGATTTGTACGTTGAGATGTGAATGTGATTATCGGGTTGTGTGCTTGGCTTGGTGTTGGTGTTTTTCCTTGTTTGGTGATGTGAAAGTGTGTGTGTGTGTGTGTTTATGTTGGCTGGCGGTGTAATGTGTTTCTTTGGTTTGTGTTTTTGTGAAGGAAGGTGTTCTGAATGTGTTATATGGTGAACCGATTAGTATATGATTAGTTTAGCCTTGAGGTTGTGACTGTGTTGTGTGTTTTTCTATGTTTGGGTGTTGGTTGATGGATGGTGATTGGTTGTTGATTTGTGGTCATTGTGTAGTTGTTTGTGATTTGTGAGTCGGTGCATTGTGTTGTGTTGTGTTGTGTTGTGTAGTGTTGGTTTTCTAATGGTGAGTGTGTCGTTTTATTTTTGCTTTGTGCAGAGCTTGGATTTGAAGAGGCGAAGGAGTGTGTAGCTGCTGACGGCGAGTCCCGACGGCCTTCAGCGTCGAGGAAGGTGACGCTGTCTCCAATCCCACATTGTTTTGATGTCGACGATGGTGTGGAAGTGGAAGGTGGAATAGCGGGTGAGTTGTTGTGTTGGTTTCTTTTTTTATGTGTTTGTGTGTGTGTGTGAGTGTGCATGCTGATTGGTGTTTTGGGATGTGAAAGTATTTGTGTCTTGTTTGTATAGAATGGAGAATCGATGTGTGGTCGATATGTTGTGCGTTTCTCGTGAAGGCACAGATGGATTGACTGTTGACGATGTTGGATTTCGGTGTTTCTTGTTGGATGGATTTTCGTTGATTGTAGTTGTGTTTGCGTGTTATCTCTCGTGTACATTGATTGCTGCTTTCGCTGGCTTACACCATCTCTGGTGTAGGCGTTGGTTACATCCGGCTGACGAAATCTCAGCACGAATACAGGGGGCTCGTTTCGCATTTGTTAGTTTACGCCGACTCTGGCGTAGACGAGATGTTCGACTATCGACCAAAGGGCGGGTGTACTGCTCATCAGTCCGCTCCGTCCTCCTTTATGGTTGTGAGACCTGGCCACTGAGAGTGGAAGACATGAAAAGACTAGCTGTCTTTGATCATAGGTGCCTGCGCTCTATTTCCCGTGTAAAGTGGCATAATAAGGTGAGCAACATTGAGGTTAGGCGTCGAGTTCTAGGTAAACAGGGGAAATCAATCGACGAAGTTGTGAAGCTACAAAGACTGAGATGGTTAGGACATGTGTTACGTATGCCAAGCCATCGCCTCCCTCGACGAGCAATGTTAGCGGATATAGGGTCAGACTGGAAAAAAGCTAGCGGCGGTCAAACAAAAACTTGGCACCAGTCAATGAAATCCACAACAGTTGGTATAAGCCACGTAGGAAGGTATAGACTTCCAGGCTGGGGTCCTCGGGACGGTAAAAATCTATGGTTGGAAACAATTGGTGACATGGCTCAAAATCGTTCTCAGTGACAGCGCAGATGCATCCACTCCTTGTGACTTATGATCTCCAATGAAAATGTTTCGTTTTTCTTTATTACTCCTTTGTCTCACATCTCTGCTCACTGTCTCTATTATGCTTTTCCTGTACTTTCTTCTCTTGCTTCGCGTGCTACACGGAGTGTGGCGACTTGAACTTCCGCACATTTGTGCAAAGTTCTATGTCGAAAACAGACAGACAGACGGACAGACATCTGGCTATCAACCAAGGGACGTGTGTACTGTTCATCAGTTCGCTCCGTCCTTCTCTATGGCTGTGAAACATGGCCAATACGAGTTGAAGACATGAAAAGGTTGACTGCTTTCGATCATAGATGTCTGCGATCTCTTTCTCACGTTAGGTGGTTTAATAAGGTGAGTAATGTTGACGTTAGGTGTAGAGTGTTGGGCAGAGAGGGAGAATCAATCGAGGAGGCTATAAAGTTGCATAGATTGAGATGGGTAGGTCACGTGCTGCGCATGCCTAACCATCGCCTCCCCCGACGGGCATTACAAGCTGATATAGGTGCAGGTTGGAAAAGAGTAAGTGGTTTCCAAACAAAAACATGGCATCAATCCGTGAAATCCTTGACAGTTGAACTGAGTCAGGTAGGGAGATGGAGACTTCCGGGTTGGGGCTGTCGGGACTCTCGGAATCAATGACTGGAGACAATAGGTGAGATGGCTGAAAATCGTTGTCAATGGCGAAGATGTATTCAGTCTCTGTAATCTTTCATATTCCTTTCTACCATTACCCATTCTGTTTCGCTCTTATACTTGTCAAACTCTATTGATTCTCTTCACTCATCTTCTTGTCTACCTTTGTGTGGTATTTGGAACGTGTCAACTCGAACTGCTGCACTTCGGTGCCAAGCTCTATGTTGGATCCAGATAGACAGACAGGCAGTACATTGATTGATGTGTGGTGTATGGAGTGTGAGAATTTGAATTGGGTGTAGTTTTGTGGAGATTTGTACGTTGAGATGTGAATGTGATTATCGGGTTGTGTGCTTGGCTTGGTGTTGGTGTTTTTCCTTGTTTGGTGATGTGAAAGTGTGTGTGTGTGTGTGTTTATGTTGGCTGGCGGTGTAATGTGTTTCTTTGGTTTGTGTTTTTGTGAAGGAAGGTGTTCTGAATGTGTTATATCCTGAGCCTATGAGTTTTTGCTGCGTCTTGTTTTTTCTTTTCGTTAATGTTGAATTTTTTGGGTTTGTTTTTGAAATTTTAGTTGGTCTGGGCCCTCTGGATATTTTGAGTTGAACTTTAGTTAGGTTTTCTTTAATTTTTTGTATGGTGTGTTCGCTTGATTTGTTTGATTGTGTTTTATGTGTTAATGTTGATAGTGTGGTTGTTGAGGCTGAGTTCCGTTTGTTGGTTTTTAAGGGAACGAGTGTGTCTGTTTTTTGTACGCTGGAATCGTTCATTTGTATTATTTCGCATGCTTCTGATGTTTTGCTGCACTCATGGTATCACTTCGGTTTCTAGGTAAAATTGAGTTATATTTTTGAAATATTATATATGGGTAACTGTGGCTACCACGCGATTAGCTGCATTTCCCCCTTAATTCTATAGTTTTTAATACTAACTTTCATGAGATAGTTATGTTATTGACTCTAAGCAGATACTGCGATGCTTTCGAATCCTGTTTGCTTATTGTAGAAACTCAATGGTTATAGTAAATCTGTTTATTGATCATGTATGTTTGAATTTGAACTTTTGTGGTTCTTATATCGTCTAATTGATTTCACTAATGAATTATTTGCTTTTCTTTTTGTTTTGTTTTTTATTGTTACAGATGAATTACCTGCTGATCATCACAATAACTTACCGGTAAATTCATTGCATTTCCTGATTTCATTTTAATGATAATATTTTTCACTCTTGTCCTTAATACCTGGTTTAAATTTAATTTTTTATTTTTACCCTCTATGTTATTTACCTGTATATCCTTCTCTCGGTCTATCTATCTTTCTTTCCATCCATTTCTGTCTCTCTCTCTTCCTCACTCATGTAGGCGTCTCCAAACCGGCTGACAAATAGTTCTCCATCACGTAAAGGTCGTCCAAGTGTAAAATTCGCTTCTTTCGTTGGTAAGTTTTCCCTGGCAAGTAATTTGATCGAGTTCAAAATTGTGAAGACTTTTTGTAATTTAATCTGATTACTTGACTTGAATTAGAGTATATCAATGCACCTGGGAGGTTTTGACGAACTCATGAATCATTGATCTTAATTGTAATAGGAAGGAAATATATCTGTGTCTCTTTGTGTAGAACTTGGACACTTTGGTAATATGCGATTTGAAATTAAGTTAGAAAACCATCGGAAAACCTGGGAGTACTGGACACCTGTTTCGTCCGAGTTTGGGGCCTTTCATCAGTGCGCCTCCACTGGGGTTCGAACCAAGTACTTTCTGGTACGTGGATGCGTGCTGCCGAAGAGTCCCAAGACTAGAATGGAACAGCTGTCCAGTACTCCCAGGTTTTCCAATGGTTCTCTAACTGATGTCAGCTCCAATCAAATCATACAAAATTACCTACAAAACCAATACTTCAAAACATCAAATTCATTTGTCTATCATACGGTATATATATATATATATATCATTCACATAGTGGAACAATATTATATTTACTGGATAGTGTTTTGAAGACAGTTTATTGCTCATAGTCATATCGACTGCAATTACACCATTTCGAAACTAGATTTTCATTTTATTTGATAACTTGCAGTGAATGTGAAGTCTGTTTGGTAGACGATGGTCAATTGTATCAGAAGTGCGTAAAACTAATCGAAATCTGAACGAATACATCCTAATAAGATGAGAAGTCTTAGATAAGAACCTCGCTTATATAGCATTAAGTTCAGTTACACGCAATCATACAATATTATGAGGCAAGGTGATAATTCTAAAATGTAAAGTAACAAGGTGGAAAAAGAGATGGATTAGTCGAAGCATTATTTATCAAATAGACTGAGAATTTAAACAAATGAAATGATTCATCACCTATCCGGGATATCTATGGAAAATTTGCTACCTTTGTAGTGAAAGCTGGCTGTTAGCCATAATTGGTGAACAGTAATTTATGTCAATGTTTATGTCCCCAATATTGGTCGTTGGAAAAATGAGAACAAAGACTTTGCGTAGGCGGATACAGTTAGCATATAGATGATCTGACATTCAAGAAACAGCCACAAAAAGAGATGCAAGGTTAACTTCCTGTGAGAAACAACTAATCAGAAGACTGTGTTTTTCTGCTAACAGTAATCCATAATATGTGTATGAAAATCTATAGATATGTGTTGATTTCCTTAAACGATCTGTTGACTGGCCCTTGTCTTCTGCTGTTACACCTTAAATAAGCAGAAGAACTTTAAAAATAGACTTTTGAAGTTACCTAGTTACAATTGATGCATTAAATTGTTTTTCCTAAATGTCATCCAGTAAATAATACAGTTTCACTGTATGATACATCCAGTCAATGAATTATGACTTGTTATTATTCGTCTCTTGTGCTTCAACCACACACTACCATCCTCTACAGTCTTTCTCAGCTAGCTTCACTGTTGATGACAAGCTTTCATTTCCACCTGACACAATCATCTCTATGTCACCCTCAAACTGTCAATGTATCATTCCCTATTCGGGTTCTCCTCGATTGTCTGACTAGGTTGTAATGTCTGGATTTATGTCGAAACTACCTTCAATTAATTTCGAGTTATTTTTTTGGAGAATAGGTTTCTGGTTGGTTCTTTGCCTTCCAGAGTTCCTTGTTGCTTATCCTTTTTAGTCAGATATCTGGTCTTCAGCACTGATTCCACTAAGGCGGGTGTTGATGCGAATCTCCAACAGCCTGTTGGAAATGCTTTTCGTGATGCACCTCATGATTCACCCAGTTTACTAGCCTGTACTAAGCCTCCTCCCCACCACCACTACCCCCCCCTAAAAAGAAGAAATATAAGAGAGGGAGGCCTCAGCATTTGCGGCTGAAAATGCTATCCCGGAAAGTCAATCCAGTCGCTACAGAAACTTGATATGACTATGACAAATAAAACTGTGTTCAACTCATATGTGTTCTATCCCCATAATCTTGACTGATAGAATTCACTCTGCACCAAAATTTACGACAAGACGCGCATGACACTAGTTACCATCTGGGGTTCAATGAAAATACTGACTTTGAGTAGTAGATAAATTATCATTATGACTTAATGTTGGATCATCATTGTGTAATTCTACTGTGTTGTTCTTTTCTTCCCCTATTATTATATAACTTCTCAGTTTATGTGGATAATCATGAAGGCTGTAAGCCAAGAATCTCTTTGGGTCCAATATCTGCTTTCGACATTGGTAATAATAATAGTACTACTACTACTAATAATAATAATAACTATTCAGTCAACGAGACAACTGACAAATCATCAACATATCAAAGTCAATTTTCAGTAAGTTCTGTTGTTGTTGTTGTTTTTTAAGAGACTTTAATTATTAAAAATTGTTAATAGTATAAAATCTAGTGGGCTAACAAATGAAAACAAAAACGAAAGTTTAAGGTGAATAGCATTTTGGTCTTGGAATGATCAATATAACTTCTACATATTGATTGCTTACCAATTATTAGTAAACTCAGTCAAAGCTAGTGACCGCTGAATAATGTAGTCTGGTACTGTCTACCAAATGAGTTGAGGGGTTCAACTATTTATTACTTATTTTTATTCCCTTTGGTGCTGAGTGGAACATACGGCTTCCAATAGCATAACTGCATTTTACCCTGTTTGTCTGCAGTCCTCTTCAGATGACCCCATGATTGCCCATAAGCTAGCTTTCATTCCCTCCATTTCACATTGGGACACACGCCCAACCTGTCACTTCCCAGTGGAAGGCATTGCGTGCGATATCGTCTGAGATGGTCTCCTCAGCGTGTATCTGATCCATCTCTATTTTCTTCTACATATTTTTTTAACAATAGATTCTTGTTTGGTTCGTTGGTTGTCATAGTTTCTTGTTGCTGATTAATTTCTTCGCATCTGATCTTCCATCCAACTACTTACTACATTATCAATTAGTTACTCTACTTGACCATTTATCATCATGCTGGCCACCCAGCGAAATCTTCTATCAATCCTAATCATATTGAATTGAATTACAAGGAAAAGAAAAGGTTGTCAATTGATGTCGTGAGCTCTCTCTGTCTCTGAGGTAACCTTGGATTGATAGACTACTGTCGATGTAGTCTGTTGTAGTTGTTATCATTATTATTACACAAACTTGGTACATAGTTGGCACCAAGAGATACACCACACAGAATTTCACAGTTTGTGCGGAGACTGGGACACAGTGGCTGGATATCCAGGCTGAAGATAGTCGTTTCCCTCAAGGTACCAGTCCTCGAATGTTTGAGTTGAAGTGTGTTCCACAAGACAGTGGAGCTGCGTTCTCATATTGTCATGGTTGTCGATGACTAAACTAGGTTCAATTGTCATTTAATCTTTTCTGATTGTGGAGACGATGTATTATCATTAGTTCAGGATCAGGGTTTTCTACTTCTCACTGATTGGCTTGCATTTTAAGCTGCAGCCGCATAAAGTCAGTGAATAGGACTCACCTGCGGGAGGTTATGAAGGATTGGCCACATGAGAACATCTTAAGAGGAGGATCGAGGTCTACCCACATTCAGTTGTACCTGTTTGTATATTAGGTTGATGATAGAGTGAAACTTCCTACTTCATATGTAACGATTGTGGTTATTTCAAATTTCTAAATGTGTTATCCTTTATAAGTTCTCTTAAATTTCTTTTAATAGCTTGCATACATTTTAGAAGAATGCAGTGATATCAACCCATTCTCGGTCCTTTAATATTTTCCAGCCATTTTTTAAATTAACTATAGTGAGATTACGTTCAGAATCAAACGTGTAAGGGTTAACGGGAATAGATGTGTTGTTTGTCAAAGTATTCAACATTCACCCATCCAGGATTCCTATTCGAATGCGTCATTTATCTATATTTGCACGGGCTCTGGACGTTACAGGTGATTGAAAAGTCAGTATAAGTGTTCAGTCTGCAGACGACTCGAGTTACTTATTGCCATATTGTATCAAAGCCTTGTTGCAGGACTTTTGTTAACAACATTAGTAGTACACATCTATATCAACGAATATCAATTAAGTGAAGTTATCAGACTAGAACAGGCATACAAGATATTGATTAATTAGAGAAAAACGTCATAAATCTAAACTCAATTTATTATAATTTTCTACACAATTCATTTTTTATGTTTATTTTCATTAAAATTTAGTCATCTGAAGAAAACAAAGAAAATGAAGAATTCAGAAGTTGCTCTGGTTTTCAAGAGTCTTCTCTTCCTCCTTCATATTCATCCTCAGTGTTGTCTGCATCACCTATGACACAGCAGCAAGTTAAACTTCCATGGCGTACTCCATATGACTGTCAGTTTATACCATTTAGTGAGTTATTTCTTTTTTATCTCTTGTTAATCTTTATGCCCATACACTTATTCATTATTGTTTTATTTAAGTATTTTTGCTGCTTGTTGATGATCATAATTGTTACAGTTTATTCTGTAAGTAATACTTGATTTGTGCTCCTTAGTTTATTGTATTTCAGAATGTTTATGCATATAAACGAATTGATAGTTTACAGGACAGCATAAGTATCAGAACCTTCCAGACATCTTGTGTAGTGTATGTAAAGCTCGGTTTTCAACCAGCAAATCATATGTTCGAGTCTACCCTGTGCAGTGACATCATTCTGGATACATTAAATGTCGCTGTTTACCTATTATTATTATTATTAAACATTGGTCTTGTAGGGATTTTGTTTGATTGTGTGGAGGATTTCACCATGAGCTGACTTCAGTTAGAGGACCACTGCAAAACCTACAGGGAGTACTGGACAGCTGTTTCGCCCTGGTTTGGGACTCTTCATCAGTACGCTCCCACCGGGGTTTTAACCCAGAACCTTCTGGTTACAAGGTCAGCAAGCTCGTAGACCGTTAAGCCACTGGGACCCGATCCAATAGTCCTTGAATTCTAACTTCTGGCACTTCACGACATAGCGCGACCATTTCGCAATGTCTTCTTCGATGTGTTTACTGCCTCGTCTTTGACCTGCTTTACCCTACTGGTCACGGCTTCCCACTAGAACTCGAGGTTAACTGCCTGAATAGGACCAGTCGCTAGTGAGCATCAGATTAGTTTTCAAGTGTTATTTTTGTAGGGATTTTGTTTATTATTATTACTATTATTTCACTTTATTCCTTTACGTTCCAAGCAGAACATAGGGCTTCAAGCTAGAGTTTTTGAAGCCTTGGTAACAGTCGTAGTTGTTTTTACGGGATGGGGTTGTCCTCTTCATGCCCACCCTTTCCCCTTTATCAGTCTTATTACTGGCTTAACGAGGTAAAGGAGTATGTCTGCCGGGGACCGAACCCCGGACCAATATGCTTGGTTGGCGGTCACTCTGTGCCACTGACGCACTGCTGTTTACCTGGCACATGAAATACCAGTGCAGATTAACTGAGTTGAAACAAATAAACAAATCAAAACAAAAGTGTTTTTTAGCCTTATTCTTGCTTGTTTATTCTTTTAGTCTTAGACTAAGTGTGAATAATTTTCATTGTCTAGTGAGTGATCTATTGGATAACAATACGTTATTTCCAATGATGGTTTTTGACGTAGAGTCTTAGCGGTGATATCATCATTCATCAAGGCTCAAATACATTCAGCTTGTGAATTGCTTAAATGGGAAGAGATTCCTGCTCACTATTCCTAGCCCATTTTTGATTCTGCTGTTTATCCTCTAAAAGGCGGATCATATAATGTAAGAAGGTGAAATTTTTAAAACTCATTTCGAATGGTTTAATCAAGGAGCCTCATGTATACTAAGAAAGTGAATAATTCCGTCCAATAGTGCATCTCCCTGTTAACCAATTACCTGTCATCATTTTCAAATGTCTCGACAACTGCCCACAAGCCTTCACAGTTTTTCCTCCTCGTCTTCTTCTTCTTCATATGATCTCTTCCATGTCACCGTCGGAAGCCCAACTTCTAGCTTCCCATTCAAGTTCCACTTGATGACCTGGGGCGGCGGGGGTGTAATCCCACTTGAATGTCTTCCCAGTGTATATCCAATCCATTTCTATTTCCTTCTGAATAATTATTGGTAAACCGGTGGATGGTTGGTTCATTCTTTATCGCTTATAAATATATACTTAGTGTTCTTGTCAAGTTTACTTGTACACATGCTTCCAATTCTTTCTTTTTTTCAGAGGGGAAAAGACCTCTATCAAAAAGTTATATAGAAAGTGGTGGTAGTTTACGTCGAAGTAAGAGGCTACGTGTTCCAGCTACACATGACAGAAACAAGGTGGTTGTCTATGAACCAGATGAAGATGAATACGGTTTAGTGTATCAAAAACCTGTTGGTATAGCTGTATTACCTGACTCGAATGAAGTGAATCGACGTCAAAGATTTCTGAATCGTTTAAAACATTGTCATGACAATAGTCAGTTATTAAGAAATAGGAAAATTTCTCGGGCACGACGTATAGGAAAACTAGCTCAACGCTATAGATTCATGAAAGGTAAGACTTTTAATCTCCACTTTAAGTGGAATAACATGATTTTTTAATTTTTTTATTTAATTCATTGGCTTTTGTCGTCTTGGTTATTCATCCCATCCTACTTGCAAGTCGTCAGCTAGATGTGCTGGTATGTCTAGTAATTGTGATGGTGTTACCATTGATACTCGGACCCTCTGCTCATCGTTTCAAACACAAGTGGTATCTGTTAAACTCAATGGTAAAAACAAAATGTAAATCCTAGATTCCACTTCTAGTCTATCAACCAAAATGCCATCATGTTACACTTCAGACGTCATCAGAAATGGTGCTTGTCAACCAGAACTGAATTTCTAGGTCCAGCGTATTGAAAAAATGGGAAATGTGTGATAAGATTTATCACTAGTTGACATCAGCTAGAGAACAGTTGGAAAACCTGGGAGTACTGGCCAGTCGCTTGTTCCTAGTTTGAGACTCCTTGGCAGTATGCATCCACTTGTGTTCGAATCCAGGACCTTCCCGTTACAAGACCAGCTCATCCGCTTGGACCCAATCCAGTGACCTATGAATCCCAACTTAAGCCACTTCGCGATATATACAGCGCAGACCGCGGCCAATGTCATTAGCGAGTAACTATTATCGTGCCAGGCTTCTCACTAGAACTCCAGCGGATGCACACTAATGAGGAGTCCCAGACTAGGACATAAGAGCTGTTTGTAGTTTTTGATACTTTATTATGCTATTTATTATATATAAACTGCTTCAACACTACGGTGTGCAGTGCCCAAGTCTTTACCAACCTCATTCATTAGCTGTATGACAATACCACGTGTCAGGTGATCCACAACGGGAAACTTAGCGCGGCGTTCGAAGCGAAGACAGGAGTAGGACAAGGCTGTCTGCTATCACCGATAATATTCCTAATTGTGGTGGACTGGATTATGCTTCAGACTGTGGGGAGCGAGGAGACAGGAATACGCTGAATCGCTGTTAAGAAGACTCTAGAAGATCTGGATTTCGCAGATGATATATATCTAATGTCACACAAACTTGAAGACTTACAGGCGAAAACCGAAAAACTAGCAGAAGAGGTACGCAATGTAGACAGGACTCCACAGAACATAGAGAAGACGGGGGTGGTGAAGATAACCAACCAACAGCAACAACAACTAGCACCATCAACGGGAGTGGTTTGAGAAAGGTTACTTCCTTCACTTATCTCTCCAGGAAGCACGGTTTCAACCACAGGTGGAACCAGTTTGGGAATCTTCTGCACTCGGCCAGGCAACATAAGGAAGTCAGTCAGTTCTTCTATACGGGTCAGAAACGTGCACTGCGTGTCACGGAGAGGATTTCCAACAAGCCACTGCGGACTTTTATCAATAGCTGCCTTCGCTGACTCCATGCTAAGAATCAAATGGGTGGTCAGTCAGGAAGAATTAGCAACAATTAATTCTGGCTGGGAACAAACCAACCGAGAGCCGATTGCTCAACAAATATGTAGGAAAAAATGGAGATGGATTGGGCCTACGGTGAAGAGGCCTTCGAATGACCTGGCGCTCAGTGCTGGCCATTGCTTGAGTGGATCGTCAGTGCGAGGGTAACATGGAGGAGATCGTGTGGTGACGAGGAGATGAGAGATAATGGGCAGTCGTGTGGCTAGGCAGTTGAAGAGGAAAGCAAAGAATAGAACTTAGTGGAGAAGTGCTATTGAAGCCCTATGTTCCACTCAGAACCCAAGTGTATAATTAAAAGTAATAATATTCATTATTTGAATCTTGAGCTTCTAAAGTATATTTGAAAGGCGAACTGACACATTCACTTGCATTAATGTGAAAATACCTGTTAACCTCCATTCTGCGGAGCTGAATATGTATATGCATCGTAATTAGTCATTAATTATTTGACCTTAGCATATTACATAAGAGGATAAACCAGACAACCTTAGAGTAGTCGATAAAAAGATAAAATCTTCATTTCCCACATTCCGAGCGAGTCATTTCAGTCATGTATTCTTTTGTCAGCGTTTAGGTAAAAGGTATAAACACCTTTCTTGAACGACATACAAATCGAAATAGAATATGATGTATATAAGTTCAGTTTTTCAGATACCATCATCACAAATAAACTAAAGATAATTAGAATGATTTGAATAGGATGAGTAAGTTTGTAGAATCGTGTGTTTAATGTCACATTAGTTGGAAGAATTACAGGCGAAAATCCAACAAGTTGGCAGAAGAGGTGTAGGCAAGCAGCTAATAGAGAAGATGGGGGTGATTAACATAAATTGAACAACAAGCAACCATCAATAACAAGGGAAGAAATTTGAAAGAGTTCACTTCCTTCATTTATCTAGACTGCCACATTTCAACTGCAGGTGATAGCACGGATGAGGATTTCAAAACCAGAATTGGAAAGGAAATATACACTTTCATCAATCAGAAATCAATTCGGAGATGTTCTTGTATTCAGAATAAGGAAGAAAATTTAGATTTTCGACCCCAGAGTTAAGTCAGTTATTCTAGATAGGTTAGAAACTTGTCGCTCGTATCATAAAAACAATTTTCAACAGGTTGCAGACTTTTATCAACAACTACCTTCTCTGACTTCATACTGAAGACCAGATGGCCAGAAAGAAGAAAAAAGAGAAACTCTGGCAACGAACTAACCAAGAGCCAATTGCCCAACAATTATGCTGAAGATAACGGAGGTGGGTCGAACACACTGAAGAAACCATTGGGTTGCATTGCACATTAAACAACTCTTGAGCGGAACCAGATTGAGATCGACGAGTGAGGAGTCTCAAGGTGATATGGAAGAGATGAAAGCTTATTGGCGCAATCAGGGGGCCAATTGAAGAGGACTCCAGAAAACAGAACAAAATGTTCTACTCGGAGCCCGAGGAATTAATATTAACCGAATAGTAACTGAGAGGAAGTAGAATCACTGATTAAAAAGGAGTGTTGATACTGAAAATCATTTCAAAGGATATTTGAGCATGAATATCTATTGATTCCATTGTTATTGATTTTGAGGTGTGCTACTGAGAGTGTTCACTTCATCTCTTCATTCCTGGTGTATTATTATTGGTGAGTGAGGCATATGACACTTTTGACACAGTCAATCAGAGATTTCAAATATTTAATAATCCCATATCTTTAATTAGATACTCTTGGTTTGTGTTTCCACAAGCTTGTCATTTATATAAAGACTTAATACTTGATTTACTGCTTAGAGTTATCCTGTTGGGATAATTCCACATATCCTAAGTATTCTCCCTCTTCGCATTTTTTTGGAAAAAAGATATTTATTACTTGACCAGTAGAATTTCTACTAATTACTCACATTTACAACTTCTTGTATTGATTGATTAATTAATTCTCTCCTTGTTCTCACTCATTTTAACATTAAAGGTGTAAAGAAATCCCCAACAATCACAGAATCCATAAGAATTCAACTTGATCAAGATGTGTCATGGGCATCTCCAATTGAACCACAATTACCAATTGGCATCAATAATACACTACAGCGTAAGTATTATACTTCAATTATCGCATATGTGGTTATTGTCTCTCAGTATGCAGTTACATGCACACCCTGGTTGTTGTTGTTGTTTTACTCATATAACACTCAATGATCACCGTGAAAGTGAAATGGTATTTTGACATTTTATGATGTTTATTTTATTTTTTTATTTTTGATTACAGCTTGATTTCACATTGTATTTTTCGTATAAGTATATATCGGTATAAGTATATCGGTAGCCCAAATTTTGCAGGCCAACCATAGATATCAGGTGCGCGTCGGCAGGAGATGGAACCTCGGACCATGTCCATGGTCTAGCGTAGACGAGATATTCGACTGTCGACCAAAGGGGGGTGTACTGCTCATCAGTCCGCTCCGTCCTCCTTTATGGTTGTGAGACCTGGCCACTGAGAGTGCAAGTCATGAAAAGACTAGCTGTCTTTGATCATAGGTGCCTGCGCTCTATTTCCCGTGTAAAGTGGCATAATGAGGTGAGCAACATTGAGGTTAGGCGTCGAGTTCTAGGTAAACAGGGGAAATCAATCGACGAAGTCGTGAAGTTACAAAGACTGAGATGGTTAGGACATGTGTTACGTATGCCAAGTCATCGCCTTCCTCGACGAGCAATGTTAGCGGATATAGGGTCAGGCTGGAAAAAAGCTAGCGGCGGTCAAACAAAAACTTGGCACCAGTCAATGAAATCCACAACAGTTGGTATAAGCCACGTAGGAAGGTGTAGACTTCCAGGCTGGGGTCCTCGGGACGGTAAAAATCTATGGTTGGAAACAATTGGTGACATGGCTCAAAATCGTTCTCAATGGCTGGTGCAGATGCATCCACTCCTCTTGACTTATGATTTCCAATCAAACTGTTTTGTTCTTCGTTATTACTCTTCCTTTATCTCACACCCGCTTTTCTTGTACTTTCTTCTCTTGCTTCGCGTGCTACACGGAGTGTGGCGACTTGAACTTCCGCACATTTGTGCAAAGTTCTATGTCGAAAACAGACAAACAGACATGGTCGGCGAGTGTCCTAACCACTGTGCCACCGATGCACAACAAATAGCTTTTGGACACACATCACCTTAAACCTGCCTTGGTAATCCAAGCTAGAACCAAGGACCAATTTACTTCATAATATTTTCAACGCTTCTCTTTTCTCTTCTTATCTTTCTCACCCACACCTTTCGTGTCTCCCTACCCATTATTTGTGACCTTGACCTGTACACAATCTAACCTGTATTGTAATTATTCATGCCTTCTGTAAAAACTGTGTAAGACATGTACGTGTGTGATCAGAATGTCCGAAATGTGTTACGCCAATGCATTACACGCTTCAGATAAACTACGTCTTCTTATTGTGTTGTCGAAACTCACATTTTTGTCTGTTTTTTAAGAGTACACGTTATTTAGATTACGGATGTGCTTTTGTAGGGATTCACAGTAATTTCAATGCGGTTTTTGTCACGAACGCATCACATTAATTAGAATTCAAGGATGATTGAATTCCAGGTCAAGCGACTGAATGGTCCAACGAACTTAGTTTCATAACTTGAAAGTCCTGATGTTGAGGTTAAGATTTTTCACTGATGAAGAGTCCAAAACTAGAACAAAACAGCTGTCCAGTGCTTCTTGGTCTTCTATAATGTCTGACCAACGTTGATTCGTGACGAAATTTGTATTGAAACTACATATTATCCGTATATTATATAAAATTGCACTATATATATTTACCGCTTGTTGTAGCCTACAAGTATGCCTTTTATCTGTTAACTGATTTTCTCTTGTGGTTTTTTTCTTTAATGTATCGTTTGTAGAAGTAATATATCCAGTGAATGCACAATTTCCCCATTTCAAATTTTCTACAATGGAATTTTCGAATTATGAGATTCCTGCCTTATTTGGTGTTTTCCCTAGTCGAAGTCAATCGAATCTACCATGTTTTGAAGTTGATGTCAATCTAACTAGAATTGTTAGCAGAGAGCAAGAGAGACGTCAACTTCATTATGATAAAGATGCAATAAACATATTTACATTGACTTCATCTCCTCCTTGTTTACCATCAAGTTCAAATGGTCCCTTAAGTCCTTATGCGGTACAACTTTCGAGATTTGCACTTCCCTTACTGAAACCATGCATTGTGTATATTCCAAAAGGTTAGTACTATTTCATTGATGTTATATTATTGTTATTGTTTCTTTTAATTCTTAAAGGAACATAGGGCTTCAGCTGCATGTCTCCATTGCGTTCGGTTCTCTGCCAACGTTTTCACCTGGCTTCACGTCTGCCCACATGCTTTCATCTCCTCTTCACATAAACTCCTCCATGTCACCCTCACATTGACGGCCAACTCGCCGCTTCCCATTCGGGTTCCACTCGAGTGATGGCCTGGCGTGTGATGTCACTTTATGGTTTCCTAAGAGTATGGCCAATCCATCTCCATCTCTTCCTTCCTATTTGTTTCACAGTCGGTTCCTGGTTGGTTCGCTCATTGCCAGAGATCCCTGTTGCTGATCTTTTCTGGCCGGCCATCTGATCTTGAGTGGTATTGAGCGAAGACAACTGTTAATGAAGGTCTGAAGTTTGTTTGAGATGCTCTTTATGACGCGCAATGCAAGTCTTCGATCCGTATAATAGCACTGACTTCATATTGGAGTTGAAAATCCGGATGTTATTTTTGATTCTGACTGCTGTTGACCTCCACACAAACTTGAGAGTGATGAAAGCTTTTCTTGCTTTTCCGATTCTGGCTTTGATATCCTTGTCAGTTCCGCCTGTAGTTGAAACGATGCTTCCCTAGTTGGTGGGTAAAGGAGGTTGCTTCTTTCAGATCTCTCCCATTTATGGTGACTGATTGTTGTATGTTGTTGTTGCTGCTGGCACTGGTGTACAGTAGTATGCTTCCATTATAGAATAATCTAATTTGATGCAATGATTCTGTTTTATCAGATTTGTGAGAATTTCACCGATTTCGAAGTGAACTTTCTTTAATAGCTAATATCAGACAAGAAACTGTTAAAAAAACGCTAAACGTTTGCTCTGAAATCTTCCAGTCTTCGTTCTGATCCGTCGCAGAGTCATAACTGTATACTGCTGAAGAATACTAGGCTGTATGACGTCAGTACTTTATTAAGTTCACTTCTGAAATTATATTTATGCAGACTGTTTCACTTTTTACTCTTTGACCACTTATAAATGAGTGTTACCTTGTTATTTAGACGAGGCTAGAGTCTGCCTGGTTTCTTAGAAATCATCTTGAAAAGACTAAAAGTTGTCAAATTTTAAGACTTCATCTGGAAGATGATAGATTTAAGAAAAACAAGTCATACTCTTATTAAATTGCAATACTACCCATCATCATTATCCCATAGATCTCTGAATGGTAGTCAACTCTCCGCCTTAATTTCATCGACTTTAAGAAGGCATTTATCAGCGTCAGCTGCTTCAGCATTATGCAGTGCTACTGTTATTTACAAACATCACTCAGTAGTTTTATGGTGATACCATATGTTAATTAAATTGCAACGGAAAGCTCACCAGAGACTTTAAAGTGAAGACTGAAATAAGGCAAGTTTGCCTGCTTTCACTGATGATCTTCTTGATTGTGGGGGAAACTAGTTCATCATCCGGTAGGCCATGAGGTGTGAGGAAATAAATATATGCTGGACTGACTAAAAGATCCTAAAATGTAGGAATTTCGAAGATAGCTTATGTCTCATTTTGCATAAACTTGTAGGAATACGATCAAAAACCAACCAGAAGGTAAATCTACATTTAAGGAGACATCAGTTAATTGCTAGTGTTCACAGACTTGGTGCAGTTGTCATACAGAGCATTTCAAAGAGGCTGTAGGATTTCATCAGTAGGTGCCTTCACTATCTGAATGCTGAAGGTCAAATGGCAGGTCACAAAAAATAAATAACGAGGTATTCCGACAGGCAACTATCCAGCCAATAACCTATTTATCATCAATTATACAGGAAAAAAGTAGGTGAATTGGTTGTGCACTAAAGAGGCCATTAACTGGTCTCATATGGAAGTCAGGCCGTTGAATGGAACCTGAGTAGAAAACGATGGGTTCGGATGTGGATACGAGGGGAACAACATGTGAAGACAAAATGAAAGCTTGTAGGCAGCGATGGAACTGGCTAAATGTGATCGTAAATGATCTAATGTAATTGAGGTTTACCACTGGATACCTAAGGAGTGAAAAATAAACATGATGTTGAGATGTTATTAAAAATGGTTTACACTCCTTTATTATCAGTTGATATTTTGACAAATGCCATTCGCTAAGATACTGTTTTTCGCGTTGATGTCAATTAAACAGTTAATTAGACAATTGTTCGTCGGTGGCACAGCTGTTAGCATGTTCGCCGACCATGCACATTGTCCGGGGTTCGATCCCCGGCACCAACGCACTTCTTTACCTCACTTAGCCAGTAATAAGACTGGTAAAGAGAGAAGGTTGGGCATGAGGCTAGCAACCCCATCCTGTAAAAATAAACACTGCTACAAAAACTTCAAGCCACTAGCTTGAAGCCCTATGTTCCACTGGGAACATGAAGGAAATAAAGAAAATTAGACAATTAGCTAACAATTGACAACTTGATAATCTTCCGCTTAGCTTCTTCCCATAACATTTCAGCACTGAGACCCACATGAAACAAAGAAGATTACTACTAAAAGAACAGTTTTGCACAGGATGAACCAACTTGTAAAATGGATTGAAAAAACCTGATGGATGGTGTATTGGTGTATTAATTGTGAACAATTTCAGTATGTTCATCAGACGTTAGTTTGTATAAAGTGTTAATAGCAAAATGGAAAAGTTTTGAACTCAGTAGTAGAACCCTGAAACTCACTCAATATTTGAATGTTGATGTCTTGTTTTGCTATACTATTAAGCATTGCACATACAGTGCTTTCGTTGGATTAACAGATAGACTTAAGACTAGAACAAGAATTATTAAATGCTCTTTTATGCTCTCAGTAATACCTTACTCTGACTCTTACCCTTACGTCTCTGACTGCAGCACTGGATGACGCGGGTTTGAACCTCAGAAGAGACATGAGTTCCTTCGAGGTTCCAGATAAGTCTTGTTGACTAGTGAATGCCAACTAGCACGAAACCTAGGTCGAAGGCTTTCTGCTGATTGCCTACAACCATTTAATACCAACAGTTCGCTTTGCACCGTGATGGCGAGCCACTTAGTGCCATGGTGGCAACATTGCACACTTGACTGATAGAATTCAGTCTACACCAATCAGAAGACTAGATAAACACACAAGTACATTGCATTAGTGTCCAATCAAAAATTCCTTACTTAATCATTACTAATCAGTAATGAAGAATATTTTTACTCATTTTAGCGCTTTTTATCTTAAAGGAACTGTGTATACTCCATACTATCGTGGTAGAGATTCATTCTAGTTGACTTGTATCTGTTAGGTTGTTAATTTAATAGGGTATGTGTGTACAGCGTGTTGATGACAGAAGTCGTAATCATTTCGTTATTCTTCTTTTTTTTCTAATTTGTATCTTTTGTTTTTCAGGTGTACCTTATAAATTTATAAATGCAACTAGAGAAAACCTGGTTCTTAGCCGAATGAGATTTGTTTTATAACCTGATATCTTCTGTGTCTTTCCTTCTGTCTACTGTTGTCGACTTCATCCTTTACATTTGTTTGTCTATCCATTGAGTCACTGTGTTTTCATTTCTGATGTCATTATCCTTTAGTAAATCATTTTTTTTCCTGAACTGGTATATTTTCTTTTGCGTGTTTAATTTTGTTATTATTGTTGTCGTTTATTATTATTATTATTGTTATTGTGAGTGAATATAAAGTATTTTGTATAATTGATTAATAAAAACAAAAAATTTAGATTTTTTTTAAAATGAAGAAAGTTGAGCTGTCAGTTTATCAAGTTAATTGTTGTCTAGGCATTTAAATAAGACAATGTCATTATTTTGTGTTCCGAGTGGACTAGAGAACTTTAGACTTTGAAGTGTCAGTTGCTGTGGTGTTTTATTTCCACGGGTTATGGTTTCAACCCTCATACTCAACTTCCGCTCTTCTCCAGAATTATTACCAGTTAGGCGAGGTTTAAGAGTGTGTCGATCGGTAATTCAACTTGAAGCTCTTGGGGGGTTGGCGAGCATTCTCCCATTGCACCATTGATGCTTTTTAAATAAGACGGTAGGCTTTCATAACTACTGACTTTTGAGATTAGTAAGGCAAAAAAGAAATTGTATGCGAATATTACCCTTCAATCCAAGCATAGTGGAATTACTCGACAAGACAAAGCAACGACAGCATCCTTATCGTCTACGGATGGATGTATATTTCAGCATTGTTAATGTTAAATGTAAGTGCGTGTATAAAATGGTGAAGGTGATTGACGATTCCGGTAGATGAGGTGAATTTAAGTATCGAATATCGATGCCGCTGCTTACCATTAATGTTTAAAGTATTGTTTATCGCTACAAGTCTGAATATATGTCAGTGAATTTTCTTATATTCCCTTATCCAACAGAAAGGAAGTGAAACTAATGGACTTACCGCCGTGTAAATAATTTAATTACGTTTTATGTGTATACTTACATGCATAAATCACTCCCCTCCCCCTTTAGACGAGACATATAACTTAGGATCAAGGTGGAACCGCAACGTCTCCTTTTTGCATCTGTTGTCCAAAAGTATCCAGTGAGCAAACCGCTAGTGGTTATCTTACCTTTGGAAGATGCACGCCATCTGAGTTGGTTCCCATGTGTTTCTCCCAACTTTGTAATTACCATGTCTGCAGTTATTGAATCTTTCTGTCCACTTCCTATGTCCTGCCCTGTAGTCACCAGCTAAGACTGGTGTTTCGAAATCAAAGGGTTTTAGGGTGCCGAAAACCTTGACTGCAGGTAGCTTAGGTGTGGAGTTTCTTTTGTGGGTGTGTCCTCCTCACGGTCATTGCGTGAGATCACTTATTTATTGTTTAAAGTAGACAATATGGCAACAAGAAGATGTGCCAAATAGTAGTAATAAGACAACAAATAAGAAAAGGTAGAGGATAAATAAAAAACTTTATCTGGGAAGAAAGCAGTTATGTTAAATATAACATAACAGTATTCGTCGAACTATTGTCAGAAAGGAGAAATTCGCGGTATGTCCGCCATTAATTGCGATTCTGTGACATATTCGATGGTGTTTAGAGCTATCTTTCAGAAACTAACCAGGGAATCGTGGTGCTCTAACACACACCAACCTGCCACAAATGCGCCTTATCGCATGACCCCACGTGATTGACCAACGACCTCCATCATGCCCCAGGGCTAGCGAACAGAGACCAGTACAGAAGCCTCTGAAATGACATTTTTAGCACATGTCCAGGCCACCGAAGCCAGTGTTTCCAGATGATGACACTGACTGACTGGTTTCGACACAGGACTTTGAAAAGATATGTAGCAGTTTAAGTCGTCACTTTCCACGTAGCACACAAAGCAAGAGAAAAGAGATAAACAGAAATATGGGGTAAAAAGAATAGTGGTATGGAAGAACAATAAAGTTTTATTGGGTATTATAAGTCACTAGAAGTGAGTGCATCTGCGCCACTGAGAACGATGAGTTTGAGCCATATTACCAGTTGTCGCCAGCTCTCATTAGTTTTACAATAGCGAGGACTCCAAACATCCAGGAAGTCTACACCTCCTAACGAAAATGGCTTAAATTAACTGTTGTGGATTGCATTGACTGATGAAGCCATGTTTTGGCATGACCACCAGTGGCTCTTTTCCACCCTGATCCATCCTATGTCCTAACCATCTCAATCGGTGTAACTTCGCAACCACGTCGATTGATTTCCTCTCCTTACCTAGGACTTGACGCCTAACCTCGATATTGCTCACCTTATAATACTGCTTAGGGCGGGAGATAGAACGCAAGTACCTATGATCAAGGACAACACAATATGACAGTATCGTCTGCATACTCGAGTCAAAAAGTCTATCTCAAGGGAGGGAATCTACATCATCTTCACGCATATCTTTCAGAGCTGACTCCAGAATGACATCGATGGAAAAGTTAAGGAGAAATGGGGAGATTAGGCAAGCCTGTCTAACCCCTCTGTTGGTTGTAAACAGCGATGGTAGTTAGTTGTAGGTCCTCACTCTACCTAAGGTGTTTCCGTATAGAGCTGGATGTTCGAAAACTTCTCAGGAATACCCCTCTCTAACAGGCAGTTCCGGAGCACACTTATATCCTACGAAACGAGGGCAGCTCTCGTATCACGAAACACTAAAAGTTTTGACCTGCAATACTTGTGGTGGTGTTCCAGTAACTAAGGAAAGGTGAACACATGATAAATTACTACACGGCCTGAACGAAACACAGCTTACTTTTCCAGAACTTATCCCTCACATGCTTTACATAACCTGCGAAGCAGGACAGCAACCAATATTTGGGACGTAGTTGGTTGCATATTGATACCCCCCATGGTTGTCACGTGAGATACCTCGGCCCTTCTAAAAGATATGGAAGACGATGGCTTTATTTTACATTGACGGCATCCCCCTGATTCTCTGTACTTTCTTTCCTGAACGAACCGATCAAAGCCATAACGAGGATCTCGGAACCATCTTTGAAAAGACCCGACGGTAGATTGTCTGGGTTGGGTGACATATGGATCTTCAAAACTTGAAGCTCCTCTCGGACCTCCTTTTTGATTGGTGGACCGGCCAGGAAGCACTGTAGCTGATGACGATGCATGCTGGCGCTGATGGCCAAATCAGAAGTTTCTCAAATTGCTCTGCTCAGTGTTCCAGGATTCTTTGCAGACTGGAAGTTAGAGTGCCATCTACCTCACAGAGTGTCGCTCTAACACCATGCGTGAAAAGCTGTGAAAAAGTGAGATTACTCTTGCAAAAATATTGTTTTTCAACAAGGGAGATTGATGCATTATTTTGTGGTAGTGGAGCAAACAACACAGGTCCCATTCTTTAAAAAACAGGTGTTGCACACACTCAGGCACCGATCGGGAAGGCGTCTACGGTGACTTCTCAGAGATAGCCATTGTGTGTGTATTTCTGATAAAATAATTTTCACGGCTTTGCCTATACGGACAAGATTTTATGAAATGTCAAGCATCCCAATGCCAGCAGAACGTTGGAAGTTTACTCTCTGTGCATCGACTGGTATTGACTGAATAACGGGAGGGGCTGACGGTTGAGGTAGAACTAAAGGTATTTGATCAGAGATCTAGCAAACTGCTATGATTTCAGAGTCATTCTGAAGTTCAGATTGGGCTTAATTGGTATAGAGCTGAATGTTGACCAGTGTGACTCGATATCATTAGGTGTTACAGTTTCTCTAACAAGCTGAGTGGCTTTATTCCGATGTCAGCGAAGCTAGGGAACTGTAATATACAGATAAGACATAACTTAATCCTAGGTCAAAGATTTCAGTTCAAATCATTCACATTTTCAGTAGAAAATACCAACGTACCTGTTGAAGTAACCGCTCACGTACATGGTTGGCTTGAGACAGAGATATCGAACACTGGAGAGGGACGAGCAATCATCGAAGTGTTATATTAATGTCTGCAGTATGACTTTAGATGTGTGGTCGCGCTGAACATTGAGGCAAAATTATATTGAAATATTAGCCAAATTCCGATGGACCCAATTTTGTAAGCAGGAGACGTGTTGGGCAGAAACAACAGAGTTCCTACGTTATGTCACTCGCAGGAATCACCCCCCCCCCCTTAATACAAATCCACAGTTTTCTGTGGTTGATCAAATTCTGTCTACGCTTTACTCCTAATTGTCCATAATACATTCAGTCTGTGATTGATGAATTAAGCCAGGAACCAAAAAACTTGCAGTTGTCAAAAGTTGTTGTTGGTTCAACTGTATAGCCGAAAGATGTTCTGATCAAGGCCTTTACTCTCAAATATCCCGATACAGGTGCCTCTTTGAATGAATGGTGGATGCTTATTAATATATGTGTAAAATTTGGGCACTGTAGCAGTAGGCAATTTGATATTAGTCTGTTTATTAGATGTATCACACAGTGAAGAAACAGTATTATTTACTAGATGACGTTTCGAACAAAATTTATTGTTCATAGTCATATCAATTGTAATCACACGACTTCGAAACTTCAGTTTCATAGTTCTCTTTGTCCTCCCCTATTTGTTGTAGGGGTAATACAATTTTCCAAATATCTTGGACAGGTGTTGAATCATTCCCATTACATCTATTCACAGTTGATTCGACAAACAAAGCTTCTGTTATCAATCTTTCCCTCCACCCTGTGACATTAGATTTTAAAAGTGTCATCCTGCATCATCCTATTGTATGTTTGCTTGTAACTCCGTGTAGCACTATAGTTGAACTATTATCTAGATTTCATATCTTGTTCGGGCCAACTAATTCAGATTTTGCAAGGTTTAATGTTTGGCTAGGGTGACTGTCCCTGTTCCGCTAGTTTGACCTATATATTTGACCTGACAATCATTGCAGGGTATTAGATAAACTAAATTGTTTCGTTTAAAGGCTCCACAGGATCTTTTAACTGAAAAAGCCTTATTAGGAATTCTGCGTAAGGTTTCCGAGGTTCCTTCAGTTTATGGAATCACCACTGGTGATTAAGATTCCTTATTGTTGGAGTTGTCTTGCACACAGTGGTTAGGACTCTCGTCGACCATGCACATGGTCCGAGGTTCGATCTTCTGCCGACGCACACCTGATATCTATGATCGGCCTGCAGAATTTGGGCTACCGATATCCATGCTGAAAATTTCATACTTGTACTAAAATTACAGTGTGGAATCAAGCTTCAATCAAAAAGAAAATATTTTACATGCATTTCGTCATTA